ATATTTAAAACGATTCGCTCTAAGTAAAGGTCGGAAGAGTTATTGATGACGTGTTGTCAACACTAGATCTGAAATGGTTCTGAGTGGCGCGAAGTCTGCTTCCCGTTAGGTCCTGAACGGAACCTGCGCAATGGCCTAGGGCAGGGGGAAGGTTGTGTGGGACGTGCCCGCGTCAGCAACGGTGCAATGGCAGCCGGTGCACTGGTATTCAGGGGTAACGTCGACGGACCCTCCCACCTTTTACAACACTAACAAGTGAGTTCTCGATGTACTCCCACAACAAAAGTGTAAAGTTCACGCAAATATCATCGAGGTGAGTACACATTACTAAAAAATTATAATCATTACGGTTTAATATTTAAAATGATCGGTATTATTGTACGAGTTGTGACCTTTGTGAAATTAATAATTATTATTTATTTTCAGCGAATAGCAATAAATCAAATGTAAATAACTAACTTTTGGCGTTTACTTTACAACTCTCGCGGGAACTGAAATGTTCCAATTCTAACTGAGATCGAAATACCTGGAATATCAAATTTAATACTTCGCGAGTAAATGTCACAAAAATGTTAAGTTATTTATGATTTTTATATAGTAATTGTTTCAGATTTCGGCCTAAACATTTTGAACGTTGTATACAATAGAAAATATGCTTACATTACATATTGTTTTACAATACTCATATTATTTGCCAGTTCTTTTCACTCGTAGGTGGTCTTAATAATTTACCAGTTAAACGAGACTTTTATTGATATGTCACCAGCAACTTGTGAACGCCGCTCGTTGTGGCCCAGACAAATTGTAAAGAGCCGACAAATCGCACATTGCACGAATTAATACACAAAGCGACGTATTATACCCTTTGTAAAGTCGTCACTTCACAGGTCATGATTTTTGTACAGCCAATAAAGAGCCAGGGGTGGCGAGCACTGATTACAGAATGATCGTTCATAACCTACCTTCACTTTACACATCAGTGGAAAATATCAAATCATTTAAACTCTACTTTTTTGGTAATGAAATGGTTTAGTACTAAGTACAAGCAGGGCCGGTTTTAGCTTTACTGGCGCCCTGGGCGAGTTAACTATGGCTCCCCAAACCTGAAAAAAGCGTCTTGTAGAGCCCTTTTATGCGTCTGCGGCATCACTTTACATCCGGCGTCCTTAGCCGTCGCCTCTCCTCACCCTGGCACCGTACTGAGTACAAGAGTAGAACTAACAAAATTCAAAAGTAATCGTAACCTTAAAATCACTACAGAAACAATTGTTACGAAAGTACGATAATATTCAATAACGTATTGTTAGAAGCGTGTATTGCGGGATAAAGGTAAACACTTTGACAGTTCTACCTTGATTTATTCACGACTTATGTAGCAGGGTTTCATTACGTTGCCTGTCGGAGCACTGTCACAGTGATCCTTCACCACCACACGTTATACAAAGTTACTGGGACTGAAATCTTCAAACTACAACAGTATCCCCACCACTTGACCTTTACTTCAATTTCACATATCTACTGCGACGTGACACTATTATCTCGATTTTTAAAAATAACGGGAGAGGGATAAGTTTATGTTTTATCCATCAGTAAGAATGTTAACAGAATAAAAACACGAACTAGAAATATTATCTGATCCCACAACTTTGTACTGCAGATAGCAAATCCTTTGCATTCTTCTCTGACTTTTCTGCGCCTATTCTCTTTTGTTTACAAAAGGCAATAAGCCATATTAAAAGTTACAAGTTTTGTTATATAAATAGCTTTAGCGCGCACCTCCGTCTGCTCGGAATTAAAAAATAAAAACGTGTTCCTCTCGACAATGTTCTACATCTACGCCAATTGTTATCGGTTCGTTATTTTATCAAGAAAAACTCAATTATTTAAGACATATCTTTAGCATTTTATACACAGAAACTCTAATAACACGACTAAAACTTTGATAGATAAATTACTTAGTATGTATCACTATCGAATAAATAAAGCATTAACACTGGTAATTAAATGTATAGTTTCAAGTGCTTTATCTTAGTGTGTGTAGGGTAAACTCTAAATGGTATCAAACACATACATAGTTCATTATTATTCTATCATTATAATATTAAATTGCCTACAACATACAAATAGACTTTATATAATTAATTATTTAACGGCTTATTCACGTCATACTTTTTTCCGGTGACGGCACCGACCAGTTTCAGACCCTGCGGCGGTCCTTCTTCAGGGCGAGGGTAAAAGATGTTGTATCGCGATCGCGTCGCGCCTCGCACTGTATGACGTGACGTGACGTGAAGTATGACGTGAGTAAGCCGTTAAATAATTAATTATAAAATGTCTCACGAAAGTTTAAATAATTTAATAGACTTTATATGTTTAAAGTATGGTTCATATTAAAAGACAAGACTAGGTTATATTGAACTTAAAATTGTTACAAGGTTTACTAAAAGGAAAATTAAATAAAATCATTTGTCTTCTTCAAGGATTATACGTAAATGACTCATACTATATGATTAAAGAAATTACATATCTCATTAACAGCTGATAACAAGTTAGTAATCGTAGATAAGTTTATATCAGCCTAGCAAACACAAACATTGAAGTTGCCCAACACTCATAATGTAAAAAACAGACGCTTCAGAAATGTCAGTTAATATGAAACTGATTAAAAAATACCTGTAACTTTTTATATCGTAACACGAACGAGTAAACGGCAAGTTATCCGAAATAGTAAAATGACCGCTGACTATAGACATGCGTTGTCTACCTTTAGTTGACGGACACGGAACGAGAGAGGGGACACACAGAAAGTTGATATTTCCCCTTTCCATGAGTCCCCTCGTCCAATATTGGATTCCTGAAATTAATATCTCCTATTCAATAAATCCAATATTTTGTAACAGCGTTGAATTTTTAGCCAACTGTTAGAATGGAAGAGTAAAATATTCACGGATATATTTATAAGGATTTTGCATTCATTGTTCTTCAGAGTATCAGTATATTATCAGTGGCGTTTTAGGTTTTTTTTTTATAATTACCCTTAACTGGAAATTACAACTACTAGTTTATAAACATACAACTTTTTTTAAATATAAACTAACTTTCGTTTTAATTTATCAATGTATAATATATTCCTTTACACTTCAGAAACAAACATTTGTAAAGCGCAATATAGCAACTGAATGTACGTCACACACAGCCATAGTAATTTCATAATGAGTGGTCATGGATTGAATGTCTACAATACAAAAATTAAAACAGCACCCCAGCTTTAACGAGAACAGAAAGGGTGACCACGGTCATATAACAAAAGGGTTTGAGGGGTGAGATTATTGCTATCAGAATGTATTATGAGTCGGGGCGTTAAAGACCTGCAAAACATTATTTTGTCACGGTTTCGCGTCTCGCCGCAACATGGGCGTTCTCAGGTCGGGAAAATTAAAAGGGTAAATCGGTAGAGGTAGACCTAGAAAGGGATGTATGGATTGCTTGAAAGGTGCTATGATCAAAAAGAGAGTGATGGCTGAGATGACGTATGATAGAGTTATGTAAAAGACAAAAACCTGACGCGCCGACCTTACGGGAGTAGGATAAGAAGGAAGATGATAATGATGATGAGGTTAACATTAGTTTTCTTATCGAAATAACTTTTAATGTGTATTTTTCTATAAGTTATGAAGCATTCAGTAAAGTGACGATCGGTAAAAATATATAAAGATATAGTAAAACCCTGAGCAAAGGGATAAGGTTTCTCTGAACAAAATTTTAGGACATCTACTTATTAGAGAGTTAGCTCACAGATACACCCTCACCTCATAAGTCCCCGACGAGGGGCTCCAGTCTACCCTAAGTTAGGGGTGGCTAGGCCTAAATCAAACATGATGGTCCAATGCGAATCGAAGTAACAAGTTATTTAAATAAAATAAACAGGCTCTAATAAAACTAACACTGTAAATTTAAGCAATGTAAAAAAATTGAAATTAAAATAAAGAAACTGTTTAACATACACTATTTTACTGTTTATGTTAAAAAAGGAAAAAAGTAGACATTTAACAAAACACTAAAATTAACAAGAAAGTAACTATCGATCTGAAGGAAATAAGTCGAGTAATAATATGGAAATACGTTGGAGAAGGCCTTCGCCGACTAGCAAATAGATAGCTGGGAAAATAATTTGATAAAACTTTGTATCAATCATGTGTTCTTTCTCAATTCTGAATGAAAAGCAGTATTATTTTTTATTACATTTACGTATTTTCCTCACTTAGCGTGAGTCAATCATGATAATTATTTCTTACGTATTGGAAATATATATCACGGCAAATAGCAACTTATCAATATGATAAAATTAACACAATCATTCGAATGTGTGTGTGTTAGTATTTGCCCTACTAAAAAATAAAATCGTGGTTACACTTATCTTGAAACAATTCAACGTGTGTTACCAATTATGAAAGAAAAATGAGTTTTTAGGAGTCAAAGACTTGAAAACGAATCGGTAAAAGGCTGTGACCAATCGAAACGTTGAAAATCCCATCTTACATGGACATCTTAAATGTATATCAAATTTGTTACACTTAACCTAAACGCTATTATGGCCATACTTTGATATCATGTTAGTAATAAAATGTCTATTATATTAGTAAAGGGTAAAAACTTATAAGTAACAACTTAAATCTCAGGATTGCAGATCTATGGAAACTTAAAAAAGTTCTCGTATATTAACATGTAACCCGTTCTCTTTAAAAGCAATTTTTTTTAAGCCAATTCAATCATTATCTATGTTTATTATTGTTTTTAAAAAAATCCAATGAGGTAGAAGACAAAACAGAAATAAAAAAAATCGCATATTTGCTTGGTGCAAATAATTCCATAAAATTTTAACACCCTTATAAAATCATTACTAAATGTTTAATGGTAAATACTAAAAGAATATCGAGATACGTGTATTCTCATAATCAAATTCAGTTAACAACAGAAAAAAAAATACAATACAAACTTACAGCGCCCCATCGAACAACGTATTTTCCACTTGAGTTATTCGCAAGTAACCTATGCAAGTAACCTCCTAAGCAAGTAACCGAGAGAATTTATTTTTTAAAATTTAAACAACTATTTACAGTGCTTGGTCGCAATATAATTATACCTTGTTGAATATTATCATCATTACCCTCAGGAGTAAAAAATAAATGAAATTCATCATTTTACGATTGAAATACAGTCAAATACTTTACGTTGTGTACCGTACATACATATTCATTAATATATATTTTTTTAAACAATCAACTCATCACATTTATTTTAATTATCCTTATAGGATTATTTCAACGTATTATTTGAAATCATATTCATTTTTAAGAAATGTTAATATATTTTGCGCATTGACCATGTTGATATAAATTGATTAACATTAGTAGAATATAAATGGAACGATAAATTTGTGTAATATAAATGCAAATTACACTGAATTAAACTTATTTTGTTCACGAAAATAAATATAAATAAATTTAAAACTTACCTGTTTCATGAAAATAAACAATCACATCGAGTAACACGCAGCACACTTTGTATAAACACTTTTAAATCAATTTCATAATTCTTTCGTATCAGAGTCCAATGTTTTAAAATTCAATTGAATTTAAAAAAAACTATTACCAAACAGAAATTTTAATGTTTTTGACACTTCAATTTCCTAGTAAAACGGGCAACAATCCCCCACCAAGCCTAGCGGTGAACTGCTTTACCGACCGTACTTATGTTTTCATGTCATGGTTGCCGCAATATAATTTTCTTTCTTCTTAACATCTAATATAACAAACGTTTACGTTTTAAGATGGTTAAAAGTGATGTAATAAATAAATAAACCATGCCCTGGTTTATGTGCAACAAACAAATTTAGTAAAACCGATCCATAAACGTTTGAAGTATTAAATGCTCTGACTACAGATTATGCTTTTCACTTTTACATGCATGTTCGAAAAGGCTCTAAAAAAGTTTAAAATCACACAGAGGTCTTATATAACATTATGTTTGGTAATTACTGTTCACGTATTGTTTAAGGAATTCTACTGGCAACACTTACATTAAAAAAAATCTTTTACTTACCGTATGTCTGTATGCATGCCTTATGTATTTAATAAATATGCTATGCCTAGTACATCTATATGTAAAACATTATTGCACAATGACATATATTTTTATTTCTTAAATTTCATATAAATTGTAAAAACAAAGCCCTTTCATTTCAATTGTAATGATATATAAAAAATGTGTATACTAAAACACTTAGCATAACGTAACAGTTCATTTGTTACTTATTGTTTTGATATGAAAATTTATAACTGATTTTCTAAGAATTAATTCATACGGATTTACCGAAATATAACATTACCGCAAATGAATATAGCGCCATCTCTTGGTGTAATGTACAAAGGTTAACACAACTTTTTCATGCCATTTTAATTGTTGTTATTTCACATAGATGGCAGCATTACTAAATATAGTTAAGGACTGAAGCTTCAATAATTCGCGTAGCACTGATAAAAATCAGTAATATTCAAAACCATCATATGTGAAACCTATAAAATCGTCACCGATCCCACATTCGGAATACGGATTACTCCACAACCACTCCATACCTTTAGAAGATGAGTAAAATCTTTTCTCGATGCTTGGCTCTATAATATATGAAAGTGGAGGGCCGGTGGTTTTAGGTTTTAGCGTTTTTTATGGAAACATATTATTCCTTTATCAGAAACACAAAACACGTTGCAATAAAATGATATACCTATCCTCTTTCGGGTTCTATAACTAAATGTTGTCCACGACGACGAAATCGCCATTGCTGTGCTAGTAAAAAGTACGACTTTTTCCTATCCCTTTTTCTTATCCTTAGTCCTACTTGGGAAAGAAATTAAAATTAAACTAAATACATAAAAACACATACAAAAGAAATAACAACAGGAACTAGGATTTAGTATATAAAATAGTCTCACTAATATTATAGATGTGAAAGTTTAGATGGATGGATGAAAGGATGGATGTTTGTTATAGTTTGTACCCTAAACGGCTTAACGGATCTGGATGCAATTTGGCATAGATCTAGAGCATAGTCTGGAAGAACACATAGGCTACTTACTTATTTTTGTTTTTTTTTTTAATTCCACGCGGACGGAGTCGAGGGCGAAGGCTAGTAATAATATATAGATGATGCAATCTTGGGAGTTCAATTTTATTTATATTTATTTATTAGTTATAGATAATTACAAAGTACTCAAAGAAGTGCAATCAGAGCAATCGATACATGTAAATAATAAACGAGCCACTTTTTCATCTGAAGTTGTGTAGGTATGAGCAATGCTAACTCTAATCTTTAGGTTTCAATAAAAATACTTGTGCTAACTCATGTCTTGATTGCATGATTGTGGTCACTAAAGTGTCATTGTTAAAACAGGGCATTACTATAGGAAAAGCGGGAAAAGTAACCTATACCTTCAATAAATCATGTCAAAATTTGTATATGCCTAGAGGCATAGATGGCGTGTTTCTAAATAATTAACCTGTTATAGGTTTTCTGGCTATCTGATCGTATAAATTATGCTTAAAAATAAAGAGTATGTTTTTCATTTAGGTGAAACGAAATGAATTTACATGTCGAATTCTCATACAGAAGAACACACGTAATTGCCCTATCGTATAATGTTCTAATAAATAGAGAATATGGGAAAGTGAATTACCTACATAAATTATCAAATATGAGACAAATAGTTCAATGTCGTATCTTATTTACTTAACACTGAACCCCCTCTATACAAACATTGAGTATATTTATAACAAGTCTAATCATTATTATACATAAACAACGTACTCAGTAGGTGATAAAACAAGTTGACATTATACAAAGTGTTCATTATCGTACAATACCTCAGACTTGCGTTGCGTTGCACGTCCATATCTGAATAATGCCGTGTTTAAAAATATTAACAAACATCTCCAGTTATAAAATACCACGGGATTTTCTTGATAAAATAATCCCAGTTCTGGCAAAAGCAGTAAAGAAAGAAGATGCTGTAAGTATGCATACATTACCTATGAATAATTGCCAGCACTTTGTGATGTTTTCCTATCACATTTTTAATAACAAAGTTGATTCTAATTTCGTATTTATTTTGTTATAGAAATTCGTATGTGTAATAATAGGCGATTGTCAAATGTCGTTCGGCGGTGAAACGTCTGTACCAAGTGCTATTGCTACGTTAGAATCGATTGGTAATCTCGGTCCGCAAGAAAACAAAGAAATAGTAAGAGAATTGACGAAATTCTTAGAAAAAGAAATTAAAGTGAAACCTGACAGGTAAGTTAATAAAATAATCAGTAATTCGTTAGAACTTTGAATTCTGTTATTATTAACGTGTTCCTTTGCAGATTTTTCTTAACCTTTTATGATTTACTTCCATACAACGTCGCTAAAGGAGGTATCACTATTGAAGAAACGGGGCCGTGATAACATCGTCCAAGCAAGTTGTACGTTGATATTTAATATTGATATGTCTGCCGAACGTAATAAAATGATATAATCCTTATCTTTCTACTCACTTTATAAGTTTTTAGATATTTAACCTAACTACGTACATATTATTGCATACTTTGGCATTTAACTACTCAATCAATGAATTTGAATAGTCATCGATCGACTACGTAAATTTTCGAAATCATGCGATTTTAGTCGCTAAGTGACTTTCGCAGTACAATGTCGATAATATATGATAATGGTGTGCTTACAGTCCACACGATACTCGCAATGAATTAAACAATAATATCTGTAATTTGCGTAGCTTTTTGTACGAAGACCCTTAATTGTAGGAACAAAAACTCTAACAGACTTGGTTAATTTAAGAAAAGATATTTTCATGCAATTATGCTTTTTTTCAAAAGATAAACGATTTTCTTACTTCGACTAATAATTTCATTGCGAAAGAGAGAATTCAACCAATTTTACTTTGCATTTTTTGAAAAAACCTATAAACACTCAAACTCCTTATAATTATATTTATCACCATAAAGTTACAAATAATTTATTCCGTCAGATAAAAGTCATCTAGTTGTCAAAAATGAGTTAAGTTTCAGTTTTGGTTTATTTAACATATGTGTCAAAAAATATTATCATTCAGGTCTACCTTGGACCTGATATGATTAAGAGAAAAATGCAAGCAAACGCATCTAATGATGATGTCTAGTCTACAATGGTAGGCTACCAACGCAATGACAGCCTCACTCATAGTCAGAAGTTTGCCGTTGGATGCTTCACTGGCATCCTAACACGCTTGATCACACAACCTGTGGACATCATCAAATTAAGAACTCAATTACAAAAAAGACGACATCTCAAACACCTTAACATGTTCGAAATGAGTAGGAAAATTTTAAGGGAAGAAGGCTTCAGAGCTTTTTTTCATGGTCATAATATTGGACAGGTATTTCAGTAACAATAATTTTTTGATGTTTTATATTAGACTTGCTTATGTGGCTTTTATAGTCTTAGGATAGCATCTAAGTTAACAGATTCGAAAGTGAACTTGATCTAAGTGGTTACCATATTTTATCAGATTAAATTCGATTGTTTTGATTCACTGCACATTTCTTTAACACATTTTGTGTACCATCGTAAGATATTCCGGACCGTCATAAAGTTTGTAAGACACTGTAGGAATTGTTATATTTTAAAACAATTTCTAGGTTCATTCTATCCTATCTGTGTGCACCCAGTTCTTCATATATGAATTAACCTCAAAACAAGTTGTTAATTCGAATATAGATCAAAAACATATGTAAGTATATAATTAACTAGACTTTATTTATTTCTATATACTTTGGAAAAAAATTAAATCGATTTTAGGACACAGTTTTTTTTTTTTTGATAAAAAGTTTTCACAGGCGCTTTCTGTTACATTTTGGCTTTGTGATAGATTTCTATTTTACTAAAATTTCACTTTGAATAGTATATTTATAACAGGATTTTTTGTGTTTTGCTTGATAACATTGATACAGGCGTTTTATAACTTAAGAGTCTCCCTGTCTTAAGTTTAAAGTTTAAAGATTCTGACGTAAAATAGACTATATTTTCAAAATACATATATATTTCACTAATTTATTAGACCCAAATTGTTGTTCTTCTGTGGTATAATCGCCGGCTGCTGTTCTGGCACTGTCGCTTTGCCTCTAGAGGTGATCAGAGTAAGACAAATGATAGCCAAAGAACAATATAAGGGACTACTTAACGGCGCAAAGGCCGTCTACAAAGCTGGTGGCATTCTTGCTTTTTATGAAGGCCTTTCTGCTTCTCTTATACAAGTAAGTTGTTTTTAGTAAGAACATACGAGTAAATATATATTTTAAGATAGGTTTGACATGATTATTGTCAGCATTATTGCTGTTTAAATTTGATTACCGTTCAAAAGACTCGAACATTTTGAGTCCCCTATTATACGTTCTACGTTCCAAATTAGCTCTGAAGAGTTATGTTACCATCTTTGGATTTTATTTTCAGTACGGACCAGCCGTTGGATTGTCGTTTTCTGTGTTTCGCTTTATGCAACCACTACTATTAAGAAAAATGGCTCATCGTCGTGATTGTACCGATGCACTCACTACTGAATATAAGCCTTCCCATGTCGTAGTCGCAAGCATGATAGCTGGATCCACAGCAGGGTTTGTTTCAAAAACGGCTACGTATCCACTGGACCTAGTGAAACGGAGGTTGCAAATCGGAGTGAGTTACGTTACACATAAGTTCGCTATTTATAGTTACGTCTATTATTTATAATTAGCTATTGACCACGACTACATAACCGTCGGGAACCTAGCATTTTGGGGATGTACTGTATCCCATGTCATGAACCATTTCAGAATTATGGAGTAAACATGAAAAAACCAAATTAATGTATCTGACGGGAACCGTAACTATTTCGGGGGATTAATTTCTTCTTCATTTACTCAACAACCTATGAAACAAACAATAGCATTTCCAATTCTAAAAAAAGTTTTACTGCTGATTATTTAGGCGTAATCTAGCCACATAAATTTCTCTTCTCATGTTCATCGTTCATCACCCTTCCTTAGACTTTTAGAATTGGCCAATACCACTAAAAACAGTCAAATTTAATTTAACCTGTATATCAAATGCTTTAAAATATGTTTCAGACTCACAAGGTAGATGAAAGGTTCGCCACCAGTACGTCCCGAAATCTCGTGCGATGTAAAAATTTTTTTACATGCATTGAAAATATAGTTAAAAGGGAGGGCTTCAGGGGACTATTTCAAGGTTGGCTAGTTACAGTTCTTAAATCTCAATTAACAAGTATTGTAGCATTTACAACTTACGAATGTTTATGTTATGTTGTTAGGGAATTCAACAAAACTGTCGTTTGATTATTTTTAGACATATTTGGATTTTATCATATATCAATATATGGTCTAATGTTAATGTCTAGTATAATGTTGTATTTAAAATATAGCCTGTTTATGAAAAAAACTTATTAATAAATATTTAAACAACCGCAACTTTGCTGACTTTTTCATTAAATGATTGTTTTTTGGGAGTTTATCTTGAACGTTCCATAGTGATTTATAGTGAATTTTACATTTATTTACTATGACGATCGAAGAAGTCGTCCGAGCCCGAAAGTGGGGATGATGACTACGACGAAAGTTTATAAAAAATGATAAGATGTGAATTAGACGTACATAGATATAATTATCTTATGTGATCTTAATTATTTTTTTGCGCCACTCATTGTAACAATAATTAAAAGTCATCAGTATTCAAAGTATTATTGAGGTGTTCTACATCCACAATGCCTTTGATTCGCCCCTTAAGAATCATCCTGTATAATCCATATTGGATGTATTATAGTTTTACGAGCTTAACTGCTCACAGTATAAATTATTAGTTTATAATTTGATTAAAAAAAGCGTTAGAATTTAACATTCATTTATTTTGTCTTTGGTTCTTACATATAAAAAATAACGGTAACATTTCATCTATATTAATAAGTGGGTTTTTATCTGCACTGGTGGGTATACTGTACACAGTTGTAAGTACGACGAGGTCTTGGCTTGTACTTAAAATAAAACCTGAGAAAAAAATAATACATTTTAGAAGATAGAGATAAAGGAGCAACGGGATAATTCGGAAAATGCGCAGATGTTAAAATATGTCGTTATAAATTGTGCATGATAATATTATATTTTTTTGGTCCATTAAAGAGGAAAGGGAATTAGCCAGTATTGATGAATGTGATATCTTTAGTTAATGTAAATGGTTGTTTTTTTGGAAGTGAATTGTCAATTTGCCTTGAAGAGGCAGATTCTCGGGGTTTGAGGTGGCCGAGCGCAGATGGCGCTTAACCTGAACCTTGTTTATAAGTAACTAAGCTCGAGAGCTCCCTCAGGAGCCTCGGCACGTGTCGTTATTCGTTATTATTACCTAATCCTAATCTAGTATGTAATGGGAATCAGTGCCAGCCGTGCGACAGCGACTCGCTCTCCCATCCGTGATGCTCCTCATGGTGGTCGTGCACCGGGACGAACACCTGCTTCTCCACCTCCACCTTCTTGATGACGGGTACAGGTACGTGCTGCACCACGGGCACAGGCACGTGCTTGTAAATCGGCACCTCCTTAATCACGGGCACCTCCTTGATGACCGGCACATGCACTGGTACATGCACTTTAGACACGTGGTGATGGTGGATCGTGTGGATTTTGTACGGCACGTGGATCGTAACGTGCTTGTGGCTGTTGAACAAAATTTATTTAATTACAAAAATGTCAATCTTCCCATTCTTTTTGAAAGAAACAATACAATAATGTTCTTATACATGTTCTGGGATAGTTTAAATTCCCAGTTTATAAAGAGCACCATAAGTTTAAATGTGTTAGTCTTTGTGCACGGAATATACGTAATGTAAATAAAAGATTTAATAAGATATGACACACTGAACTGGTACTAAATTATCTGTTACACGATCATCAAGATCAGTTGCTGTAATGATGTTATGATTATATAAGCCAATGTAGTGTGTAACTGGTTGCAAATTACTTCACGTTTAATGTGTGTAATTTGCCCCAATGACGTTATCGAATATCACCGTCAGTTTCATTTAATAACTATCTCCAGAAATTATAAGTATGAACACTTTTAATACTAGATGCACTCGACTATTTTACCTCGCCTTACACAATGATGAAAAGTCTTAAATGACAACTTTCCTTTATGCTTCTGCTTTTATGGTATTTTTCTGTAATTTTCTGTACAAGAATAATGGTGAAAGAAACAATATAATAGCGGTACCTCTGTAACGATAGAATGTTTATTTTGATAACGTAACTATATTACTTAGACAAGTATGCTATTACAATGATTACATGATTTATGTGAACCTCATGGCATATCATTCGAGGAAACCTGACATTTCCTTCACATTATCGACGCAGTGAAAGTCATCGCAATTTATTCGCAGAACGACCGTGACTGGCCATACATTGTCGTTGGCTAGGTCGCTCATGGGATATTCAAAAACGAATAAAGTAATCGCTACTTAACTATGGGTTTATACTATCGATAAACTTGTTAAACTTATTTGTATATTTCACAGTAAACACCTGTAGGAAAAAAGTTTATTTTTTTATTGAAGAGAAAGCTATTTACCAACGGGTTTTAGTCACTAGTCCGAATCCGCAGTTACTTAGTTTTAATTACTTGCTTCATGCAATTAATTAAAAAAAAAATACTTAAAATATGTAGCATTGAAAACAGTTATTAGTCAAAAATGTGCAGAACAATTTGCATTTCATTATTCAAATGAAGATATCGTCAAGAAATATTCGTGTTCCATAAATAATAATATGTGAAAGGATTATTTCGTATAAATACAAGGAAATTAATCTACATTCAAACTCTACATGTTAATTGTATAAGCTATTTTACACGTTAAAATTGTCAGTAATTAAATCAAAAATTATAACATAAGCTATCGCTAAAAGAACGTGTATAAAACACGGCATATAAACGTTAATTGACATGAACAAAAAGTACCTTATTTTTTAAACCAAAACTATCATAACAAGTTTAATTGTTACGTCGTTAACGTTGCAGTTACATAGGCCTACTTTCGTCCATCCAGTTCGAGAATTTGATACGGGCGATTCCAATTAATCCCACTTACATAACAATATGTAACAAATACGATCGCAGTTTTGTTTCACGCAGTAAATCTGACATTTGAAGGAAAGTGGTACACGTCCGTTTATATCGGAAGTCTCGACATCAGTGTGTACCAACGCTTGATCGAATTGTACAGCTTCCTAGTTTCGACTCTAGGTTCAATTCCTGTACTTACTTGTAGTTATACATAATTTTTAAATGAGATTCATTAATTGGTACAAAAAGCGTTTTATTTTTTATTTCAGCTTAGTTTGTTCGTTATAAATTACTATTTTAGACATCTTAGATAAGAAGAATAACACTATTATTCGTTAGATAATTTGAAACTAGGCTTCCTTGAGTATCCATTACTCAAGAACATTTCTGCTTGGTCTTTTTTACCAACATTGTTATAGCATTATTCAGCTCACATTTATGTAAGTGTGCATTTTAAACAGATCGTAAACGGTGCATATTAAGAACGCGTACGCATCGTTTAAATTGCGACAACTCTTGTTTTTAATCTGCATTCGCAATACTTACGCTTTTGGTTACGTAAAAGTCTAACAGAGGCGGTAGGCATAAATAGCCATGTAGAGCCTTTCACCTGGAGGACCATGGTAACAGGCGGAGAAAGGTATTATTGGAATATAATAAATTTAAAAATATGAAAATGATCCTTGAATTAACAACGTAAATTATACATAATATAAAAGGAAATATATATACGTTAATTTATTATATTTACAGTTACAATTACTGATCTCACGCAGGTGAGTGGCACTGAAAGTGATAACAAAGCATTTAAATGAGTCCTTAGTTGTACTTTTGACTTTCTTGATAATTATGAATAATACAAATTCACAAAGGCCTTAATTTTGTACTTCCTGTAATTCTGTATTTCTCACGGCTTTTTCCGGAAGGCAATATAATACATGCATTATAAGTTTGTGTCTCCCACGGTATACTAGAATGACAAGGGTCAGAACAAACTGTGTAACCACTATTATACGTGAGATATCTTAATCATTTGATAGTTGATTGTTAAAATGTAACATCTACAAAAATACTATGATTTGATTATCAAGAAAGGGGCACAAGAAAATAAAAAACCTATTTATATTTAATAAATGCTATTGATGTAAATCTCAAAACTGTATCTAAAACAATGATGAATTAAAATTGCTAGGGTCATCATAAATGTACCTAAAAGTCCTCTATTAGGTCTAGGTCTAGATATGAAGTAGTTTGTCTACTAGGTAGCCACCTAATTCTACACCCGATATATATTATAACCGAAAACTTGTGTTTACATCTGTCGATAACTTTAAAATGTTTTAATTTACAGATAATTAATAAGAGGTACGCAGTCTTCGCAAAAAATTAAATAGAAAGTTGCACGTTTATAGAAATAAAATAATACTAAGCGATACTATAATAAAAAGTAATGCCGCAAAAAGCACTGAAGGTATAAATGAAAGCATAAAATGCGGATGTTTGTTCTCAACAAGTCAGACACGCGACAAACACTCCCTTTAATTTCTAGAAAGCTTTTATATTAATTCATATTACATTCTATGAGTACCTTAACCTTCATAACGACAATAATTACTTAACGTAGTTAACACTGTTTTTTTGTTTAAATCTGCATGTTAAATATTCACATAACAATAAAGATAATCACGCGTTTTTTAAAACACTTTCGAGCTAATAATTTTTCTCATCTCTCAAGTATGTCAGCGTTTGGTATAATATGCCAGTGTTTTAATTAAATAAACTACTTTAATAACCCAATATAATCGTTTCGGTAGATCACTTTGTTAAAATTAATTATAATGTGTACTAACTGCTAAAAAATTCAATGGCGCAATTATAAAAGATATTAAATAAAATCGTGTGTTCATAACTTAATAAAAAATTATGAAAACAAACAAGTTTAAAGAAAACAACACAGGGTAATTGGAATTGGTTAAATTCCGCCTTATTAGTTCTAATGATATAGTGTTAGTACTTACTGTCCGTAACCTCCAGGAGTGGGCACTGCAACTGCAACGGCAATCACGACGGCGAGAAGCTACAAATAAAAAGAACATTTAGTACTTAAATTATTGTTTTTTTTTCAATCTAGATATTGTTAACCTATAGTTAAGGCATCGATAGAGTTACAGGAAGAAAATTATTATTGTATTTATCTTTGAAACCAAGGAATTATATAATTAATAACTAAAAAAGTAAGTCCTTCAAATTAATTTAATTAGATGTAAACCAAAGTAATAACATTGTATTAAATAATTATTATTCTTATCAAATTAATTTATTTGTATAAGGAATGTACTTTAAAGGGAATGTATAACATAATATTGTATGTAGACTTACAGCGAGTTTTGCGTACATCTTGCTTTGTTTTGCTGGACTGACTGTGGTACAGTAAACCTGCTGAGTCTTGCTGGCTTTCTACTCAGTCTGAACCTTCCACAAGCTTATATATGCGCCGATCGTATGTCCGAGAATTACATAATACTGCCCCTTAGTTCATCCCTACTAACCCGTTTTACCCGACCAAATTGAAAAGGTGGGAGATATTGGAGCATCGAATGTAGAAAGGTACCGTGATCAAACTGGTGGGGCTGTTCAGCGGCGGAGGATCTAGTAACGTCGTTCATAAGTTTATACGGACATGTCTACAGAAGGTTACAACTTAAACGTTGTGTTGAAATCAACAAAGTGCAATCAAAGAATTTCATCGGTTGGAAGATTTTGAAGTCAATTAAGGTATTTATGTGTCTGGTAAATTATTTATTTTAGTTAAAAATGCCGCAAACCATGCACCTTTTTAATCTAAACAAACAATTTGAAGAACAACAGATAGTTGTTTAAAAACATTTTTTTTTTTCAACTTAGGCTTGGAATTTTATTCGTTTTATATTTATATAGAGGGCATTTTATTGCAGTGCGATTTTTAAAATTCTGTTATTTGCCTTATAACGCTTTGCGAATTTAATTTTTACTGACTGCATAGCAAGCGTTATTTTCTTCGTTATAAATCGTTTTTACACAATTATACACTTAATTTGAAGCGTTTACAGCCTACTGATTGTTGCTATTCGCTAACTCGCCAAACACTCCTAATACAGTGACGTCATGGGGCATGTTTGCACTACCAAATAAAATTACTTTGCTTGCTGTACATACAAGGTCACGAATAAGTATGACCAGAAATCTGCTGTATTAGAATATTGATCTCTAAGGGACTTTAAAAGGAGGTCAAAGTTCGAATCCAGAAATGTTTTTCACATCGTAGGTAAAAACCTAGACATATTTTGCAAATGGATTTCTTTGTATGGTGAGTTAATACAAGGGTTTTTAGAAAAACTTCCGCTTAAGTGGTCTTAAATAGACTTAAATGGGGGTCTTAACTTTGTAAGAAGAAGTGTTATTCCTTGCCTTTAAATTCCTTGGTAGAAATTATGTTTTGCCCCAACTTACTGCTATCAAAAGTTACTTCTTAAATAGCTCAAAAAGCCTTTAACAGATTTTATTTGTATTGAAAACTTGTCTTAGATGTAGTAAGTCAATGTTGTTCGACTACTACTGCATATAATAAACATGTAAAAGGAAACTTTATGGAAAAATTAAATAAAAAGGCAGAGTGTTTTTAAATATAATTCAATTTATTAATGCTTAGGTTTACATCTTTGGTATACATTTATGACAGACCGTACAAGGTATAAAAATTTTAAATCCTACCTATTGATGGTAATTTGTTACCCCCGGTATATGCGTTTGTAATTATTACACATTTTATTCAAATAATTGCAATTAGAAAAAAAGGTTAAAACAATGCCTGACAAAACTATGTATAATTTTAATGTAGAACTGAGTTCACTTTAAGGCAACCTATCTAAAATTGGCTGTTTTGTTTTTTATTTTATTTTTTTTCCGTCTGTCGTTTTTCACAGATTTTGTAACTCATTCCGCATTATCTCATTGTATGTAATAGGGGTACCTCCAAGTCATTCCGGCTTGTGTTTTTAAATTAATTGCGAGTTTTTTTTTTTTACCTTTCATTACAACACACAAATACTGTTGCATAAACATTTGTAACAGTACGGTTTATTTCAACATAAAACTTAACGTATTAAATTAATTTATGTAATAATGATATACTGGATCGTATCTTGATATGTTACTGATCTCTTTATTGCCAATTTACACTCGATATTTGTTACGATATGATACAATTTTATATAAAAATAGCTACATAAAACCTTATGTTACCAGTAAAATCTCTTGTGACCAGTTAACGTCATAATAGTTTAAGAACATATTTTAACATGTAGAAAATGGAAAGGGAAAATATGTAATTATTAATTTCTTTATTTTTGTAATAAACTTGAGTTATAACCTTGTGAAATAACTGTGTGGTCCTTCACAACACCAACCTGCCGTAGGGACATCCATAATAGTCGTGTTTACAACATTAGGGACCAAACCTCAACACGTTTGGCTAGCGGGAAGAAACAAACTAATTAATGTAACGAGCGATAAGTAACTGGCGGAACGTATAAGAGTAGTCTTCATAAATGAGACCTTTCTAAAACGACCTGGACCTAAATATTGAATACCAAGAAGGAACTACACGACTTCTACAAATATATTGTGTCGACAGTGGAGATCTACATTTAGCGAATTTTGTTATTTATGGATTTAGAAAACGAAATTTGTTGTAATATCGTAACTGTATGAACAATAAGTGTCCCGAGTTCGATTTCGTGCAATAACCGTCAATATGTTTACTTGCCATGTAGCATACATGGCAAGTAAATTTATTTCACATATTTAATTAAAGTAACATACTTCTGAAAGCCCATGTGAAATTAAGGCATAATCAAAATACGTACGCACAATCACGTAATTGACGTTAACGCTTTAATACTTTTAATTTTGTTAATCAAGTGACGCGGTATCGAATCACGGAACAAGCCCGGCAGTTCTAAATCAAATTACATCTCCAAAGTTAAGCAAACAGTGTAACTTGATAATGTATTTCTTTATAAACCACTAGCTTTCTAACGCCACTCCATCCGCGTGTAATAAAATAAAACAAAATGATTAGCTTATGTGTTTTTCCAGCCTACATATATGCGAAATTTCATCGAAATCCGTTCAGTTGTTAAGGCTACAAACCCTAAGAAACATGCATTTATCCATCCTAACTTTCGCATTTATAATATTAGTAAGATATCAGTATAACCTTGTCATCTGCGGTGACCTCTATCGAAGTTATTCTAGACTAACACGTCACATTAGACAGAACAGTCGTGATTATTAGAGCTTCCCACTTTCGCCATCAGTTGCACCGTGGTTGGATAACAAACGGGGTTGGCAACACGCGGATTAATATAAACACTTATATTTGATGCTCGGCCGGCGCACCACTAGACGCAGTTACTCAACATGGATGTTGCATTTGTATGATTCTTCTCATAGATCAACTTTCGTTTTGACCCGCATTGAAGCAAGCTGAGCTGATAATTATACGTGCTATAAATAACAAAACACCACAATAATCTTTAATCCCATTTTATAACCATGAGAAATGAGATCAAGTTTCTTATTAGAATTCTTACAATGAATATACGTAACTGTGGAAACCCACTGCTACTATGTTGCAAAACATATTACTACTGTCATTTTATAAAAAAGACTAAAACTTTTCCACATCATACTGTTAATATAAAATTAAAAGGGTACTTTTATTAAAAAATAGACATAATCATACTTCATACTAACACTATAATATATAATGAAATTTGGTATGGAAGTCGCGGGCAACATCTAGTTAAAATGTAAAACTTAATACTACATCCGATGACAACTGACTGAGAAATCATACAAATATATTTTTTGGCTACACGGTATGTGCATGTAGTGTCTTGTAATAAACGTTACGCATGCAGATATCACCGATGACTCATCGTTCATTCAATCTTTTGAATGTAAACATGCACTGAACTACAATACATTATTAAGAGCGGCGTTTTAAGACAAAGTTACATACTTAATTAAATAAAGCCGCCCTTGCACAATTTTTTTAGTTGATAAAGCCTAGTTTTAGTATTACTTTTGTAATGTGTGTGCCCCTTTTATTCCCTTTTGAGATGAAAATTAATTTTATCTAAATTTTATTTTATGAGAATGTTTCTAAACCACTTAATAAACGGTTAAACTCATATTTTTTCATCCCGGCGCGACTATTCAACATGTAATGTAAAAAGTAATTTTTACTTTAATTATTTATGAGTTACATAACTTAATAATGATCCTTGCAATATTATTTTGAGTAATCTCGAACGCACTGGCCGCTGTTATGAAATTAATAAATTCAATTATTATATAACATATTATACGTTTGTATTTTATAATATGTTAATGATATCGAGGGTTTCATCATAATTAGTAAATTAAGTAATACCAAGCGACAGACAATGCTGAATGTGAACATAGTTCCTACATATCTGCACAACTGGAAGGTGCAAGGACGTTATATAAATACTCGAGCCGAGCTAAGCTCTAATGTCCGTCCGCAGAGAGATGATGATGATAATTGATCTTTAAAGATTGACGTATATTTAATCCGTAAATATCTCGAGTTCTAGTTATATAACATGTTTAATTATATTTTACAATTTAAGCCTTATAAAATTATCCGTGGGATTATGTCTACAACATAACACACTGTGTTATGAATTTGACTATTAAAATAGCAGTAATTTAGTTAGCCATCAATTTTATTTCGAAACTATAATCGTCAGTCATTGCGTAGCGTTATTTGGACCGCCAACTTTCTAGATAAAATAAGACAAAGTGAAGGGCCACACATTACAGTAAACTTGTAGGAGAAGTTTTGATAACGAGATAACGTAATTACATACATTTAAAATAACTATTCTAAAAGATTACACAAATAATTTACCCAAACCTGTATGGATTACTTCAACATTTGCATTAAACTTTTCGCAACCAAATGATAATAATGCGTAAGTAATAATTTAGTTCATAACTTTTGTTTAAAGATCAAGATATTATTATTATTACTAATAACGATAATTATTATAAACTTTTTAAGATATGCAAGATATTGCCGGCTAGTTTAAAGCATAAGTTTATCTTCCTATCAGTAAATCACAAAACCTTGAATAACTTAACCATTACACAAGCACAACACCAACACAGCACTAGGGGAACCTCTCGTGGCAAATACATAGTACCCAGAATTAATAATTATTACGGCGACAGAACAATAGGAAAACGTTTACCATACATGCTCAATACCTTACCACCTGAAATAGCAAATCTAAATTCAAAATTTAAACTATTTATCAAGCGTTTGGAAAGCCATCTTTTTGAAAATAGCCCATGAATAGAATATTTTATTTATTTAGTACACTCTAGCATACATAACATTGTAATACCGCACCTTCGGACAAACCAGTGATATGGTTTATGCAGGGCCATATTTATGCATATATTTAATTTGTGTTTTTCGTAAAATTTCAATAAATAATAATAATAATAATAAATCTAACTATAGGACAACTTCCCGTGACAAAAAAGCAAAACTGCTTATTTGCTGTATGGAGTGGTAAAAATGAGCCGCTCGATACTGAAATCATCTGTAGAGATAAGTTTTATTGGGAAAATGTATTCATTTTCATATTTGAAATTTAAATTGATATCATTTTATATCGAATAGATTTTACCCGAAATAGGATTCTGCGCAAACTGGAGGAATGCCATTGAGAGAAAAAGACATAACGACAGATCTTCTAAATGTGAACCGTCACCCAAAAACAGGAGAATTACTGAACAATGTCCACTTCCTTTTACGAATGATCAAGATAAAGAAAATAGGCTGGATTTTTGCAGCAAATAGCGTTAATAATTACGTTGTATGACTTAACTCTCCTTTAAAAATTACATAAAATGGCAAACATCATTTTAAAAATATTGTTACAAAATATTAGAAACGAAAGTAGTAGTGGGGGTAGTTTCATAAAAGTCTTTGCAAAGAGTGAGGCAGATCCTCAGTCAGTCACTCAGTCACTCAGTCACTTTGTCGCTATCAAGCTCTCTAGCCCTCAGTACCTCAGTTCCTTCAGTAGCTCAAGAGCTCAGTAGCTCAGTACATTTCTAGTCGTCACTACGGAACGTTCGATATCTTTTACGTACTTGATTTAGTGTATTTGTTTTAAAGTAATTAACAAGTATTTCTCACATGACCGCTCGACTAAAAAAAAACACAAGTATAAAGAGTTAAAGAGTTGCCTATTAAGCTTAAGGAACAGATCTACAAGTCCATCATAAGACCTGTCATACTGTATGGATCTGAATGTTGGGCCACCAAAGATGCGGATGAAAGATCCTCCATAAGGGATAAGGGCAAGTCGATGATGATGTATAAAGAGTTACTCAGTGCTTAAAATTAACAATGCTCTTGCAATAAAATAATTACATTATAGTTGAATTAATTCTATGAAACTTTGGATAATTTTATGATATAAAAGGAAATGCGTTCATTTAATCGAAAAATTATAATATAAAGTATTTGTTTGCTATCATATTACTCAACTCTAAAGTGATTAAAATAATTTAATTTTTTATATGCAAGTATAATGTGAATATACAAACTATATGGTGATAAAACACTAGAGAACCTGTATCCTATATATTCAACAGTTTACATGCAGAAATATGTGATAAATAAAAAATAATTTAAGACTTAAAATAAAAGTCCTAACTACTCGAAATAAGTATATGCATAAGATGTTTTTTGTTAATTCTACCTTTACAAAGTTGCGGGCAACAGCTCGTCCGGTAAAAAGCTGTTGTTCCATTATTTCAGTGACAAAACCCCCATGCAAAACACTCAACTAATATTTTTATCTGACATACATCAATGTGAATATACTGTAATACGAGATCTGGCATAACAACTATCATGATTTAGGATACATTTACACGTGACTTTCGTAACTAAAAACGAGTCATAAACATTTCAAAAAGATACGGAATTATGTACAGATTAATTTAATCAAGTCCAACAATCTAATCTAGTGCTAGAATACTTTTAAAAATGTGTAACAATCCATTGGACCCTGTAATTTATTCAATCGCTCATAACAGTACAACTCGAAATATGATATCAGACAATAAAGTGCCATTCCAATTGCTGGCACAACTTAACATAACAAAAATTACATTCTCCTTGCAAATGCGAGAAAAGTATTAGTCATACAACTTCAAGTTTTAAGTAAAAAGACGAGAAGTACGGAATCCATATAGTGCCGTACCGCACATGTGACGATTCTCGTTAGTAGTAGTTGTGACATTGAAGTGACTGATGTTTTCCAATCCAATGTTAATTGGTGATAGTCAGACTTATTACTATTACATTCATAGACCTTTGTAAAATGAATAACGCAAATCACGTCGCTGAAAGGCGTTTGGAAATACGCATACATTTTTCCAATTCAAATCAAACTTGATGTAAGTTAGTCGATGATAGTCTAACGCAGTAATTGCCAAAGTTGTCAAAATAGAAGGCCCGGTAAGGAAGTATATCTCTTATAGTAACCTCTATCAATTTAAAATTATAATTGGTCATGACTGGATTATAACTGCATATCGTGAAAAATGAAGGAGTTACGAAAGGACTTCAGAAAAAATAAATCCTTTTGGCAAATAGTTTAAGTTATAGCAAAAACACATAATGTAAAACGGTTTTCTACCTTCCTCAATATCACTGCGATCTAAACACAATTGAATTCATTTGAAGTCAGGTGAAAAGAAATGTGGGGAAAATAACAAAACATTATAAATGAGGCTAAACCTAAAATTGCAAGCAAAGACAAATTGTGTAAGACATGTAAAGAAATAAGATTGAAAAAAAAGAGGAACTTGAAGACTCTACAAATAATGGTAACAATAACAAAGGCCTTTTGTGGCCAAGGTAACCGATAATGGCTCTTCCGACACCTATTTTAAAACGAATTTACAGAATATTTGAGAGTACAAGAGACCGCGATGTTGAGTCAAAATGCCATAAAATCTATCAGGCAATTTTTGGCAAACATGCTTCTTCTTTCAGTTCAGTTATGATACTGATGTTGGGCGACAAAAACTTATTTTCAAAATGTTTATCTATGTAATTAAAATGTCATGAAATTTAAAGTACAATGAAAACATTTTTAATAAGTCTTATTTTGTATTAGATAAATTAAATCGAAGTTTCTTTTTACCCACTTTTAGAATTATGCACGAGGAGCTTTAGCTCATGACCAGACAGTGTTAAATAATTTTCACCTGCCCTCGATGGTCCATACAATAATGAATAGTTGCACAGCAAGTTGTCATTTCTCCTCCAAAATAGTGTCGTAACAAAAACGCTACGCGGAATATTAATAGAATTAGAGAAAAAACAATTTCACATTCTCCACGTGAGCTCTATGTCACGATTGAGGAATCCGACGAGCAATAAAATTACATCGGTAAAACACAGACATATTGGATTTTGTCAACATTGGCCAAACAATGTAGGTTAATTGATATTCTTAACACGAAGATGCCACTATTGTTCATAGTATTGCTCAAAAATGTATAAACGAAAGTAACCTATATGCACTCCATATTAGTAAGATGAATAGGTGAATGCAGACTGGTATATTAACACTTGGCGTGCGGGGTATACTTGTGCAGCGCGTGTTGTTTTCATAAATCGCGGAGATATTTCGTTCACTGGATATATCGCAGAAAATCGAAAACTGCAATATTATTTACAACAAATGTTCTAAATACGATTTTACGTGACACGCGCTCGAGCGACAGACTGCAAATATGTAAAAAACGTTCCCCGCATGCCAAGTGGTATCACTATTATAATACAATATACACCAGTACCTAGAGTCGATATGCATTACCATAAAACAATAAATAAAACATTCGTAAGAAAGTTTTGGAAATAAAAATGTTGACTTAGGTCTAACTAAGATTAATTAATAATAATAATAGATTCCCTCGGCAGGGGAGACCACACAGTAGAGGGTTAGGGGGAAAGGGAGAGAATCGCTTTCTGCATTTAAGCTCAGAGCACACCGTCCAGTAGTTCCAGTCGACTCAGATGAGAGGAAAGGCTGACTGAGATGGCAACAAGTTGTTGGACAATGATAAATGTAATTTTATTACGTAAATAATCAAATCTTCAAAGGAACAAACTTACTTACAATATCTTCTTTTATTGCAAAAAACAATTTAGGATACCTTCGCATTATATTCCTGAATGCATTCTTATTTAAAAATAGAATCTGAAAGAAAATAACGAAGAAAAACCTATTATATCTGCAAGAGATATAATACATATATAATACTAAGAATGTATTTTTAATAAAAGCAGAAAATCCATTACAAAGAATGTGTTTACCTTGCATGATATCATTGCAACAACAGACGGCGACCTATAAGCCCCATCTGTTACTAAAGATATTTCGCCGAAATAATCTCCATCAATGAGATACTGAGTGTCAACGTCCTCCGAGGAACGAACTGCCAATACTCCGACATCAACAATAATAAGGCCATCACTTGACAGAGATTCCTGAAAACAAAATACATACTTATCAAATTCTGTTTACCTTTCTTTGGAATTAATATTGTTACTTTCCTAAAGAAGATTGTGAGAAAAGTGATTAGTATAATAGTAATAGGATTTATTGTCTCTTTTTATACTTAAAGCATTAGTTTTAAAACATCATTGTTAGATAAGTAATTCATAAAGAGTACTCACCTCTACCACAACGTCGTTCTCCAAATACACCTCTTCGATTAATAACAATACCATTTCTTCAAGCAAGTTTTGGGGAAATTCCGAGAAATACGGTATCCTTGTAATGTACTTCCCATACGAACTTACGATAATTTCTCTTTTTAAGGATGCAGGAATCGCATGAAAGCATCCATTTTGTTTCTCAGTAATTGTAAGTTTAGTCATGTTAAAGTTATGATATTTAAGAACTTTTTGACTGAAATCGTCAGATAATTGACGCCAGCGAAGTAAGTTAATTATTCTGTATCTATTCATAATCACTTGCTCTTGAGGATATTTGATACGACTGAGACAGCCATGACACTCAATTAGGTTCCACATGTAAAAAACATTGGCTAGTATAAAGGAAATAAGTGAAGCCATTTTGTCCCAATAATAGATCTGTGGTTTTAAACCAAAACTAAACAACAAGAAAGATTTTAATACCCGAGCTAGCTCAAGTGTATAGAAAAGGACATTGGGAAGGGGATATCTTTCATCATATCTGAATTTAACGACGGAAAGAAAATAGGAGGAGGGATCAATTTTTCCATTACGCATTACAGCTAGAAGAGAAATGGTGTCAACCAATTTTACAACCAGGAGCATTGTACTTAGACCTAACACAGCGATGCGGAGAAATTTGAAGAAGTACATAGCACGAAAAGAACTACGTTCTCTATTCCAATAATTAGCGGCATCATATAGACGATAGAGACGTACGATACCTACAAGTCTCAAAGTGTATACAAACGTGTTACATTTACAAAGGGCGCAACTAATATTTTTGCCGTATTTGAGAAACATTATAGACTGGAGTGGTAGTGACGAAACAAAATGGAGGAATAACTTTGTCGAGCAGTAATTCAATATTGACTTCTTAATGTCTAAGTTTATGCTTCTATCTTCTTTAACAATGTATCCAGTCAACATGTTGACAAATAAATCCGTAAGGATAATTGCTTCACAGATAACTCCAATAAAATAAATTTCCCATGTTAGCTCTCCATATAAAATTGAAGTACTATGATGAAATAATGCTTTGCTTAAGAGATCTGAACTCAATAGAAGGCACTCCCAAAAATTCCTGCAAATAAATATAAATAAATAAATGCTTTATTATTTCACTCTTAAAAATAAACATTTCATGGGAGCCTTGGCTCCTGCATTAAGTTGTCCTGTGCTGCAGGACCCAATTCCTTTTCCCCATTTGTAATAAGCAATACATAAATGTCTAAACAATAAGAAACAAAGAAAAACTATACAATTAGCTTGTTATAAAATTGACAGAAAAAAGATGGTCAAAAAGAAAAAGAAAAGTTATATACAACTTTATTTGTGTGTTGGAGAGTTATATCTGTGTATGTGTGAGAGAGAAAGAGAGAGTGTATGTTTGTGTGTGTGTGGGAAAGTTTGTGTGTGAAAATGTTGCTATAATCATGTCAGATGTACATATGTATAAATATGTGATGGGTCTATCTTTGACCGACTTTCCAAAAGAAGGAGGTATTCAATTTGTTTGTTTTTTTATTTATTTATTCTTTTGCACAAAAGTTACAAAACGTATACTTAAAAACTAAGACAAGAATTAAACACAAGTTCTATTTTGTAACTATTTAAAAAGAATAACAGCATTTTGTAAATGAGGTATTGCTCTGCTTATTATACCTTATAGGGTGGACGGTGGTCAATCTGCCCCGCTCAATCGGCGACGTCGAGACGTCATCGAGTGAACGCCGCAGAGATAAAAGAGTGGCGGTGCCAGGTTGGCAAGAAAAACACTTCCCCTTTCCATCCTTTCCTTGTTAATAATGGTGAATAGGGTAGGACAGAAATGTACAATCCCGTTTCCATTGTAGACTCTAGTCGCGGGTACGATTCAATGCGTATCTCGTACAGGGAAATAGTATATACTTTAATTAAATTAAATTAGTTTATAACCCGTTAAACGAATAGCTTATCTGTACTTAATTAATTTACTAAATCGCTTTTGAAAAGAATAAAAAAATAAAAAAAAAACCGTACCTGAATTTACTAAATGGATGAATGCTTGCCCCATGGTGGCGAAATTGTTTCATTCTTTCCATTCTCATAGAATGTGAACTTCGATAATAGCTTCTAGATCTTTCGTCACTGTAAGAAAGTAAAAACAAATCACTCCACCAACGCTTCAAGCGTGTCCACCAATAAAAATTATTTTCTTGAATGTCCACATCCAAAACATCTTTATCATAATCGATTGAACAAGCGTGGTCGTAATACGATTCTCCATAAGAATTTATAATCCTCTTATACATCTTTTGGAAAAGAAATTATGTATTTCCTAAATCATTTAACTGCTTGTACGATTAAAATGTGACGCAAAATTTAATTTAAAAAACAGCAACGGTTTTAAAATAATAACGGCCAGCTATGATTTTGCCAGGTATGGTTCTACCTGTACATTTTGCAGTTAAAACATAGAAAATAAAACCTTATGTAAGCGGCGTAAGAGTCTTGTTGCACGCAAAATAAAATTGAAACCAAGTGAGAAGGCTACAAGTGTCCCATATGTCCCTTTCTAACAGTGACCTGGAGTTGCCAGATATCAATCCATGCGTTGCTTTTAGAAAAATAGGCGATTGATGTAATGTAATGAAGTAAAAATATTTAGTTCTAAAATGTTTCTAAATATGTGTAATAATTTGTTATTGACACGTTAAGGCAATATAATATGATGCTATGTGTAAAACCTTATAAACGGAAAAATTTTGCGATTGGCGTACAGGTTTTTTTTTATTTGTTTGAAATTTCGACACCTGAACTGACCACCCCACATAACATCCCGACTCGGATGTCAATGGTGACCATGCATAATTCCAATCCTAATTCAAGAACAAATAAACACTTAAGCACTTTTATTTTATCCCTCTCTCTATTAAAATATCTTTGTTTTAATTTAAGATAAAAGGAATAAGCTTGGTTTGCGGCACAAACTTCACAAAACTTTTATTTAGCAATATCTGATTGAAAATTATGTATTTTGTATTTTTTTTTGGTAAATACATTAATGATAACAATAATAGGTTAAAATCCATCTGAAGCATTCTCCGCTGACGTCAGACATCAAAAACAAGATTTTTTTTAATTACTTTCCTTAAATCAAATTACAACATAGTCATTATCACCAGAGAGGGATGAAAGGTATAGTTTTTGAGGTCTCGCTCGGCTTCAATTTTGCGACAAGAGCTCAGTCCTGTTCTAATAATACTTCCATGAAAAAAAATTAATATGGGCTCCATCTTTTTAATTATAAATACAGACGTATCGCGCATTTACGTTTTCGCGAGTGAAAATCAATCAAGTATGATCAAAATCGATTATTTGACAGGGATGAACTGTCACTCTGGCGGAACGTCAAATTGGTATGAGAGGCAACAAGAGTGTTGCCAATGCTTCAGCAACTGCCGAGTTCTACGGATTTCGGGCCATCAAATTACAAAATCTACGTCCTCCGGCTGGAACCCTTAGCACTTAGCAGAATCTACGGCTTTTCGAACATCGACAATAATTCAATGTTTTTCTTTTATGAATTCACTTCAATAGCTTTTGAATCAAAAACAAAAAAAAAAGTCGTTACAGGGATTTGTTCAGTATAAAATAAAGGATGGACAATTTCAACACAGTACATTAATATTACCAACTTTAAAATAGCGACATTTACAAAGCTAGTGTTTAAAAGTTTTCCTTTTTTAACTGGAGCTACCGATCTTTTTCTTTTCTCATGCAAACACGGTTTTTTTTCACGATTTGCGCGGCCGGGAATAAAAATTTATTGACAACACTGGAAAACTTACCATAGAGCAGTGTCATTAAAGTTGTACGTTAGCGACGGATCGCTGATATAATTAAAATCCTATTTAATCATTGAATAATGGCGACTTATTCTTAGTTAATTGATTGCGGTATACTAAAGAATTACTGAATGAGTGTAATACGAGCTTATTACTAGGATTACATTACTGCATACCTACGCTCTATGGTTCTCTTTAAAGACAGTAACGAGATAATGCCGACATATTTGTTGTTATTGTAAATATTTACCACTAAGATGCCGAAAAATATTACTAGTGAAGTCCGTGAAATAATCCTTAAAGTTAAAGAATTCATGGACGAAGAGAAACGAATGCAAGCTCCAATAATTCCACTTGGTAAAGTGTACGTCAGAGTTTCGGCAGCCACAGGTTAGGGCATTATATTGAATAATACGTTTTTGACTATTGCTTCTAAATGTTATACACACATCGATTACATATACTTATTATTGCTTTCTAAGTTATTGATAATGCACAATGTATGATATTCGTAAAAGTAATAATCTTGTTTATAAGTCAATTGTTGTTGCGCTATGATTATTATCAATGACCGTAGTATCAAAAGCGCCTTAGTGAACAATCTTTTTCGTTCTAAAAAACTAAAAAAGGTCTCGTAAGAAAAATCTATCTATCTTGATCATCAAATGAATCTGAGTCTCCCATTGTAAATGAGATAATTAGTTCCACAATATAGGAATTGTTACATTAATATGTTAAATGATCCTAATATCTTAATTGGCATACCGTTATGTGTGCAGATGTAGTCTTAGAATGGGGTGGACACAACATAACAATTGATAATCTGTGTTTACCTCCTAGTGGTTCTAGCATTATGTCTATGTAAGCTATCCTGGAAACTTTGCTGATAGCCTTATGACACATAATAACTGACTATTATTTCATATTTATTGGTAAAAATGATCAAATCACCAATAGTTACTAACACAATAATTGTATTTTTTTCATTTTTAGCCATTCAAAGTTTAAATAATTTTAATCATTAGAGTGTTTTATAAAACAAAAATGTTCATTCTAGGTGTTTCAGAGCGAACAGTACTAAACATTGTGAAGGAAGCTAGGTTGATTGAACAGGGTCTTCTTGATCCAGAAACATTGAGGAAGACCCCAAAGAAAAGAGTGCGGAGTAAAGGAAAAATTGAAGTGGGCGAGTATGATTTACAAGTGATCAGCAGAAAAATTCATGAGTTTTATGCATTCAAGAAAGAAGTACCAACAATTAATAAACTCCTGCAAATACTTAAAGAAGAAATAAATTTCAAGGGGTCTAGAGAAACACTTCGCAAAATATTACGTAAAAATGGATTTCAATTCAGGAAAACAAAACATGTGAAAGATAAGGAACCCGCAACGGCATCAACATCAACAGTTCCTCCATACATCCATACTATGTTTAGTCATAAGCCTTAATCTGTTGATGCTACTTTAGAATTATGTTACTTTAGTAAACATATTACACTATTAATGTATTTGTAAGCCATCAATTTAAATGTAGATCTTAATGTTTAATAAAAAACTCTTTTACATTAGCAATTTTTAGATGTAGAATGAAACCCGTATATTCATAACAAAAGAATAAATAAACTTCATATTTTACACAACATGACAATAAATTAAGAGAGGCCTATTATAATTGTGTTGTCAATAATTGTTCAATATTAGTGCATAAAGTATATTTTACTGTAAACAATGTAAGTACAATGCAATCGCAAGCACAGGACAAGAGTACACAATTGCTTTATACTAACATGTCTTGATATTGATAAAGTTGAGTGTTCCATCATTTTATAGAAAATATAATGGTGTCTATTTTGTAAACAATTTTTGTTTTCGGAATTCATTATTTAGATCTGATATTTGAAGGGCAAACTAAACATTTATATAAACTCATATTTGTATATAGATAAGAATAATTCATGTGATTATTGTATCAAAATGTTTGACTGATATTTAATTTTTGCTAAGAAAATTCCATGAATATATTAAAAAGTTTGAGACATTCAAGCATATTTAAATGAAATGCAATAAAAAATTATTGCTGAAATTTTTGACAGTATTTCATGTGTATTTTAAATTATTTTTAAGTAATTTAAGATTTGTATAAGAAAATAAGCAAGGAGTGATGTAAATTTAGAGAACATTAAAAGTTTGCATTTAAAAAACCGTTATTTCCTTTATATTTCTAACCTATAAAGACAAAATACTTATAGTTATATATCCAAGCAGTTGACTGCCAGGAATTGGTGCTGATGTTCTTATGTGTTGGAAACCAAGACCCATTTTGGGTCGCTGTGCTGATTTGTGTTGGAAACAAAGACCCACTTTGCGTCGCTGTGCAGATGTACTTATGTGATGGCAATCTAGACCCATTTTGGCTTGCTGTGCTGATATTATATGTTGGAAACCAAAATCCACTTTGGGTCACTGTGCCGATGTTTTTACGTGTTTCAAACTAAGGCCCACTTTGGATCGCTGTGCAGATGTACTTATATGTTGACAATCTAGACCCACTTTGGGTCGCTGTGCTGCTATACTTATGTGTTGGAAACAAAGACCTACCTTGGGTCGCTGTGCTGATGTTTTATGTGTTTGACACTAAAACCCACTTTTGGGCGATGTGCTGAAGTTCTTAGGTGTTGGAAACCAAGACCCCACTTTGGGGCGCTATACTGAAGTTCTTGTGTGTTGGAAACCAAGACCCACTTTGAGGCGCTGCACCAACAGAGTGAGTTAAGTATTACTCCAATCAACCAACTCCTTCGTAATAAAGGAATATTTTGGTTGCAAATAGGAGATAAATACTTGGCTAAACACTTAAGTAACACCATGAATTGGATGAATCAAAAAACAAATTGTTAATACACATTTATTTTAGAAGCAATATTCATCATTAGCATTGAATTGACAGTTGACTTAGATTAACATTATACTCTTCAATGACCTGAGGTCTTAAGAAAAAACAATGACTGTTTATACAGACTCTTCCGCCTATTGTTCACATTTACAACTGTTATATCTGCAACATGGAAGACTTTGAGGACCTCCCATGATTAGACAAAAGATTCAGTTGAAAAGGACTCCGATTTATAAAAATCATCTTGTATCTGTAATAACCTTAACAGAGATAGACCACATGTTTTAGAATCAAATTAACCCGGCTACACTAATGCCCCTTAAACAGAGTGTGCTAGATGTTCGAGAGGGCCTTGAAAGTGCCTGCAGATGGATTCCTTGAGTACTGCTTTGTTAAAGTAGACTAAGCAATGACACATACATCTGCTTCTATAGAACCCCAGCATCCAATATTGCGAGAAGAATTCTCTCAACACCATCAATTCCAGGTTAGCGAACTGGAATAGCATTATTAACGAGGTGGCCCCGTCTACAAAGCCTAGACAGCAGATAAAGATAGTATCAGCAGCAATATGATACTGAATACACATGGATGCTTATTTACTATTAGACTAACACACAGAGTTAGGAATAATTATCTATGAAACTAAGTAAAATCTACAAGCACTACCAGTACATAACCTTTTCATACTATACATAGTTTTTGAAATCAGATGTTTCGAATAATTAGTTTTTATATAAATGTGATTTATAATGCATACAGGTTCGTTTCTAAACATACTCTTAAACATTTCTTTCAACATATATAGCAAAATAACACAAATAGATGTTTTTTTTCTTACAATGTTAAGTACACATTTACATATGTTGCAAATTAGTAACAAACAACTTTACTCCTAATAATTTGGTGTCAAACATTTTAACTAACTATTTCCAGTACTTTACAAAGACATATATAATGTTACTGCTACATATAACAGATCAAAACATTTCCTGTACAACATTAACATTTAAAAACTTTTATATAAATAAAACAATTTGTTAACAATTACATATTCAGAACCTACTAAGAATATTTCTCCATCATTGATTAACCAATCACAGCAATTTAAGTTATCAAATAAAAATCTGTTTTAATAACAGATTTTGAATATTACTCAAAAATCCATTACATTATTACTTTAAGACAATAAAATGGCTTTTCGTCGGAATAGTCAATGGTTTTATTTTCTGGGTAACAAAAGCTTTGACTTTGTTAAAATGAGCTTCTCCACAGATTTTTAAGCAATGTCTATTTTGACTAAAGAATGTATACAATCATTATTCATCACACAGATCACTACATTCTTTTATATCATAATCATTAATTATGATATGTTTAAAAATATTGCATTTGTAAATACTATGAATAAAAGAGAAATATTTTTAATTACTTACTTGTATAATCAAAAACGTATGCGTACTTATGCTATTCTAGTTTGTGGATAGCAATACTTAGCTAAGCATATTGCATTATTTAGAATATTTTGAAATTTTAAGACACTTATATCTAAATTTATATTTAGTTTCCGACACAAACAATTTTAATGAAATAATATTTAGAATATTTTTATGTTTTCCAGGTACATGTATCAGCCTATCCGCATTTTAACTATTCTTTAACTCTTAGCACTAAGCAAAATGATTTTCTAAACTGATCAAAAATATATTTTGCTATTAAACAGTATTTTCTAAAACATAAATTTAATTCAAATTTTATGTTATGCTTCTATCATCCATTACAATTAAACAAAACTATCAACCTACTTTTCAATATTTACTGACACTTCTAGAAAACTATAAGCTGACATATATAAGGCTTGCAGTATTTTGATCTAGCAATGTGTGTACCTAAGATTATATTTTTAATAATTTAATATTAGAAACACTACTAATAAATGATTTAATTAAACTTTTTAATACTTAATAATATAAATGCATAACTTTTTTAAATATTAAATATTGAAATACAGATAATAGGGTATAAATATAACAAGTTTATCCCAGAATGTTGATTAGATTTAACACAAACCATCTTCATCATCAGTTTTCTTTTCCTCATAGGTATCCATATCTCTGTCCCCCGGTTTAGCCTAAAAATAAAATACATCAATACAGATAGACACCATAGAACAGATATCTACATGATGTGTGTACACTTTCTATCCAAATAAGTATGACTATATCATAGATATAGGTAAACAATGTGTATTTGAAGTTTACCTGCATGTATGAGGTATTGGGGCTAACATATGATGGTGCCGCATTCTCCCTGACTGCAGCTTTTGGCGGAGGGTCAATTCCTTCAGGTAGAGGAATTGAAGCGGCAAGACGAGCATACTCTACATCCATGCTACGTATGAAGGGCGACGCTAAGGCCCTTTTAGCTGAATCCCTGTCTTCTTCATCGTACGCTTGCAGCAACTGCTCAATAGTTTGCATTTCAGGTGCTTCGCAGTTGTTACCCCATTCCTTGTTAAAAAGAAATATTTTCTTAACATGAATAGACTACAGACAAACTAGATTACAATGGCTTATACAACTGTAAAAAGGAGTAGTAATAATCTTATATTTCATTGTATCTATCAATCTTGATATCAATAAAAAAATAAAACAGTTTATTTTTAAAAGTAAATAAAAACCGTAATTACTTTATAAGCTTTCTCTGCAGCCACTGCGTCTCCTCTGGCCAGTTGTACCAACACAATAGCGACAGTGAGGCGGCCCATAGCCCCAATGTTACCAGCCTCCTGATGGAAACCAATCTCCCTACGAAGACTATCCACTGCTTCGTCATACCTTTCAAAGAGAATATATTAATTGACTTAAATTTATTTAAAACTTTAAAAATTTATATGTAATGAGTGATACAAATTATTACCTCTGCAATTTAACTAATATTCTCGAAGATTTACTAATGTATTCAGATCCTTGATGTTGACTGCTTTCAGTCTGCAATTAGATTATTATAAGAATTAAAAAAAAACAAAACTGAGTAGTCTGTGTGTTCTTCTAGACTATCCTCTATGTCTATGCGAAATCTCATTGAAATTCATTCAGCCATTTAGGCTACAAGCTCTAACATCCATCCATCCATGTAAACTTTCGCATTTATAACATTAGTATGGTTTTGTATTAACTTACTGATGATACATCAGCTGCCTGTTGGTACAATTTGACTGCTTTCTCGGGTGCATTCTCCTCTATAATCTTAGCTGCTTTATCAAGAACATTAGCGCCAGAGTCACCTGAACCATGTTGCTGGTAAAGACTGCTAGAATCGCATGCTAAAGTGAAAATCTAAAAGATTTTAATCATCAGTTAGTATATTTGACACAATTTTTTGAACTAAGATGTTTTTTATATTTAAAATATTGAAGGAAACCAAAAAAAAATTGTAATTGTTACCTCATCTGCAGTTGAAGTTTCTTTACTGACTATAATTGCATTCTCAAGGGCTTTTCCAGCATGGAAAAAGGAATGGTTTTTCTTGTACATTTCTGATGCTTTTATATAGCAGTCTTTGGAGCTCTTCAAATCACGTGCAATACGGTAGCATTGGGCTGGAATATATTACATTAAGTTGCATTAAAATTAAAGAAGGAAATCGAAACTAGCAACCAAAAATATTTACAACACTAAAAGAAGTGCTTATAACTGTTAAAAGTTAATATTATTTCAAGAGCATTTTTGTAGATATATTCCTTAGTAAAATAATACTTTTTACCTGCTTGACTATACTCATCGGCTGCTGAGTCATAATCTGGTTTCCAACGTAGCAGCGAAGTTTTCAAACTGAAACATTATGTAGTGTTCAAACCAATATATTTAATGAATTTAATTTAACACAGTAAGATATATGTTGATATTCCAAAATTACATAAGCTAGCACATGCATACAGGAAGCAATATAACAGAACCGCATAGCAAACATAATACATATTTTACTAATAAGTTTTCTAAAAGGCAATTAACGGTTCACATGTTAAAACAAAAGGTATTCATTAACATTCGCGTAATTCAGTGATTTTTAATGCTTTGCCAGTTAACATAGAATGCAGGAGACTAATAATCTTTTCATCGTTTTTATAATTAGGTAACCAGGATCACAACAACCCATTTGTATACTTACAACTTTTCTGCGGCCTTGCAATGTTCGTGAGCTTCATTTAATTTCGCCGACATTTTGCAGGTGTTACTCTTTACTGATCAATTTGAATGCTGCAATAGCAAGATTATATATTATAAATTATGAATACCAAAAAATCAATACCGAACCAGTTAAACGTTTGACAATTTTGACGTTTTGAAATTCGTGAAGTTGTCCGAAGATGTCATTCGCTTTACAGAATATAAAAAAATACAGATTAACTATTAAACTATTGCCCGTGGGAAACCAAACATGTTTTATTTTTAGGGAATTAAAAAAAATATTGCAAATATGTAAATAAATAACAAGATCAAAAAGTACAAGATATATTGTTTCCATTTTTAACCTCACATTTCAGTTTTAGCTAGCTTTAGGTAATCTATATAGATCCTCTTGTTTATAAATTGAACCATGGGTTTACACTGTCATGCAACATGCATAGTAGAACAGTTTTGTAAACATAAAAATAAAAAATATCTAAAATAATGCCTTTTTGGCTTACTTAAGCTAAATCATTAGATGTATAAGAAAAGTATGAGAGAATTGTAGATTTATAAAAAAGTAGTCCAAATTAGTAAATGGTAATTTTTCATATTATTCTTTGTTTTACAGATTACATTAAAGTAAGTTTAAAAATATTTATATTTATAGTAAAAGAAATGATTAAAAGGAAATCAATTCTATTTTTGACCGACTTCCCAAAAGAAGGAGGTATTCAATTCGACGGTATATTTTTTTTCGTTAACATTAACTTCAGGGGTGTCGACAATCAGATATGTAAGTATCGTTAGTCGTTATCAACATCACGTGCTCGCAAATATTTGCGTAAAAGCGGATAAAAAATTATTATCCCCGCAATTAACCTGGGGTGTGGAAAGAAGTATGGTAAAATCATAGCTATATACCTACTTACACATACCTAATCCGGAGCGCAAAGCGAGGCGACTTATAAGGTCTCCGAAGGGCTTTTTACGCCCCAGTGTTGTCATTTACATTACGCAATTTACAGAAAAATGAAATCAATAAAGTATTAGCTTCTATTTATTATTTAGGGGTGTAACGGAACTTCGCTACCGTATCCGCAAGGACGGAACTTCCGCAAGAAATGATAACACCGTATCCGCTTCCGCTTTCGTTATTTTTCATGCGGAGTTATAACGGAGGTTAATTACGTCTTTAACGCGAGTGGTGCGATTATAGTTTGTCTCAATAAGATAGATTAGTTTGATAAATAACGCATATGAAGTTTCGAATTCAATTTGTATGAAGCCAAATGCTGTACTTTATAGACAGGTATCGTAGTGTCGAGTAAACACGCAGCGAACAATTATGAAATATCGATATTCGGTTTAAATATTTATCGAACACAATTAAAATTATTACTTTCTTATTAACTAATTTAGAAGACAATTCTGGTATATATATTCTAGTATAGTGTAGGGAATTTATCGATGACAGAAATAATAGCGAAACTCAATTGGATTACGTACGGCTGTAGTACTAATAAACATATATTTACTCTCATTATTTGCAATGGTTCGTATTAATACGAGAAAACAGTGTTTTTTTTTAATTCATAAGTTATATGTAACTATGAATTTATCGATTCCAACTTCTATAAGAATGAAAATCGAAAATCGATAAGAATCATGACTGATTTTACACAACTCATCCCTACTAAATTTCAAATGAATTGTAAAACTAATCTATCTTATTTAGACACACTATAGGTATCGTTTATGCGGCCCTCGCAGGCGTGATATGCCAACTAACTATAATTGTTATACATTACATTTGACTAATAAACTGTATCTTTTAATTATGTACCAATCTATATTTTTAATTAAGGTAGTTTTAGTGTTTAATAAATCGCAATTAAAATTTTACTATTGACTTCCGCTTCCGCTTCCGTTAACCTCCGCTTCTGCAGAGGTGAAGCCCGCCCTTCGCCTCCGCATCCGCATCCGCTCTCATTATAATGTTCTCCGTTACAACCCTATTATTATTATTTCTTAGTTTTTAGTGTAAAATATAATACCTAATGTAATTTATTGCGTCATTTTTAAAACACAATTTATAATTTTAATAACAATAATTGGCACTGATTACACTATTTCGCTAATTATACTGGTATACAATTCCATTACGCATACAAGCGTCAAACTTTTCATCTCATCTGTACACATATGCATATGAATAAAATAAATAAAACACCTTCTTAAATGTCTCTTAAAATTGTCTTCACAACAAAAACTCAGTTAAATGTAGATAAATTTAACTGAGTTTATAGTTAAAAAGTATTAGTTTATAGTTAAAAAGTATTAGTGATTATCAAGATATTAAATAACTGAAAAAATAGAAAATGATAGATTTTAATCGTCCAAAATGTGTAAATTACTGTAAGCAGTGAAGAAGTCATCAGTAATTTGTAACTTCCCTTAGAAAACCCGTAAGCCCATGGTCCAATCGTCCCCCTGTTTTCCGGGTAACTAACTTTTTAACAGGCAAACATTTCATCACAGTTTAATTAAACGATCAACTTTTTATTTAATCGGCCAATATTTTAAGTTACTTTTTTTGGATGGTTACCTTGATTTTAAATGAACACGTGTTTCGTATAAGTCCCCTAACTAACTTTGAAGTTTCTACCCTTCGCTAATTCCTCCTTAGAAATCGACTTTTTAAATGTATACTTTGTTGTCGCTACGGGGAAACCAGTAAGTTCGAATTGCGAAATAAGGAAATATTTCAATTTGCATACGTCTACATCGATATTAGTGCTTACATAGTTTTTGGCCATAAAAAATCTCTGATGTTTTCAAAATTGACGTAAAGTTTTCCTTTGCTTTATTATGGTTTGTGTTTTTATATTAAATTATCAGTGGCTACAGTACTACAAGCACTGATCACTTTTAAACGTATAGGTTACCCAGAAATGAGAGCTTCAGTTTCGTTCCGACTTAAACGCCTTGTTGACCACCTCCACTGTTAGTTCGAATCCTTACCCGTAGCAATCCCTACCTTCAGCGCCAAAATCGCTAAAATCAAATAAGCACCAACGACCACGACTATCTATCTATAGAGGACAGTGACGACAAGGATCTTGTGATACTTTTGTCCATCAACTATCATAATTTATTTGTCTTCTGGCCATGAGGTCAAACAACTTTTTCGGTCTAAAACTAAAGACGCCACCAGAATTTGAGATGTTTATAACATAAATAAAATTTCGTACATATAACTTGTTTGTCACGTAGATATGGTAGACACTACCTTGTTATTCCTCTGATCTGTTATTATTTTTTACATACCTACCTAAACACCATGTTCTCTTTCGATCGTAACGTTAAAATTCTAGTAACGATTGTACAATTTTCCGTCACACTATAAAAGTGAGATTATAATCCAACGAATGTAAAAATGTGATTGTGACGTTTTGTAAACGTTTTGTATGTTGGAAGGGAGTTTGAGGGCGCAGCGCAGGTGTGGCTCGTGAGAAATCTCACCCCTGCCTAGGTATTTAGCAGGCGGAGGGCTATTCGCATTGCTATAGACTTGTTCCCACGGCAAGCCGGAGTGGCCGCTACTACTAACCACATAAGGGCGGACTGATTTGTTGTTCAGAACTAATAAACTAAACTATTCGTTTGGTTGTTTTATACGTCTCATAATATATTATCAAACGTTATTTATCAGAAAACAAACATTTCATGGAATTGCAACATATAAATTTGATGTCGTGTGTATACAAGTATGAATCGATATATTTTCATGAAAAAGTACGTTTACTTAGAAACCGTTTCGAGAGACGGTAGTACTTTCCTAGAGAAAGACTTAACACTCTAACACTTTAAAGGAGAAACTTCTTGGAAGATTTGTTTGTATTTTATATTACATTTAGATATAAGTTTTGTATTATAGGGAATTGCACTTCAAAGGTTCAAAGGACCGAAGGAGGTTCAAGGATCATCACTTGTTATTTTTATTTGATTTATTTTTAACTATTCTGTATTAATAACTCATAATATAGATGATGTAACGGTATGAAAGCTAAATAATAATAAGTTAATCCATAGGAGATGTGGAAAGTTGCATTGAAAGCCGAAGGACAATTAACTGTACGTTTGGCGATAGAGCGCGGACCCCCACACCGCACCGCGTTTAGTGGCCAGGTGCCACCCGTGAGAATCTAGCGGATTGTTTTGTAGGGGGACACCTATGGATAATTGTACAACTACTTATAATTACAAATTATTTCACAAGTAATACGTTTATCTGCAAGTTGTCCGTCCACCAATTTCATTTAATAGCTGACAGAAAGATAAAATATATATAAATTAAACATTTTGTGTTCACTATACACAAAAAAAAACAGAAAGTTAATAAAATATGTTACTTTCTTAGTATATTGTAGGCAACTTTTGGACATAACATTTATAAATCAGTTAACTAAATAACCATGTAAATAAAAATAAAATAAAACAAGGTTAAAATACATGATACCAAAGTAATTTCCCGCCCCGCACCGCCTTATGGAACGGATGCCCTGGGCCGTTTTTCCAAACCAGTGGGTGTTAGGGTCTTTTAAGATGCGAGACTATCACTTTATCAGAGGCCGGCAACGCAGTTCCTCTGATGTTGCAGATGTGGGCGTCGATGAGCACCTCAGTGTTCCCGCCGACGTTTACTATCCTTTTAATAAAAAAAAAATCCTAAAAGTGTTAGTTAGGTAAGGATATATTTAAGTTAGATAACTGTTGTTTTTGTTACTAGAATTTTTTTTAGAAAACCAAACCATCAGTATGACCAATATCCGTTTATAATCAAACTTACAAATTTGACTTAGCTATTTAAGCAAAAACGTGAACACGATAGATAATAAATACAGCTCAAATTATTAACTAAAAAATGACCGGAATCACGAAAAATATTTACACTATCGAAACAATTGCATAAAAGAATAACTGGTGGAATTAAACCGCTATACTAATCACAAACGTGTAAATGTGTAAACATGTAAGCACTAAGTGCTTATTCACTACATTGCTAATGGCATAGCCTAATCTTCTTTAAAAAATAATTCATTTAACTAATTGATTTAACTAAATAAAAAAAAAATCGAAGATCATAGTTAGTTATTTAACACAAACAAGGTAAGAATAAATATCCCAACAGGGTATTCTTAAATGCATAGGTACTAAATCAATTTACCAGCACAAAACATTAATCTAAAGAGGCAATAACATTTCTCAACTACAATATCTGAGGGTGTATCACAAATATTCGTTAGAAAATTTTGAAAAAAAAAAGTGTAATGTCATAGATAAAATTTGTGTCTGATTTGTGCAGCGCACGCGGTCCTGCGGCAAGTACACCAACAAATCGAAACGTCTCGGTCTCGTTACGAATGTGTGTTCTCGCAACTTGCACACAAATATTCGAGATAGACCTTCTGAATCCAGATTCCAGACCACCGTGTAGGCAAGCGTGATAGCAATATAATTTGGATAAGGTAACATGATGACTAACTTAGTAACTAAAAAACTTAATTTAAAAGCTCATTTTTCTAGTAACAATACCTTTTTAATTATAAAAACATTTTTGTAATAACTAAGTAATACGCAATAAAGCAATGTTATGTAATAAAAAAAACTTCCTTACAGATATGTATATACACAACAAACAATCGTCTCAGTTTTTTTCTTCCAAGAGATATAAATAATTCAGATGTTTCGATAAAAATAAAAAAAACTCATTGGCCAATTGTCAATACTTCGTTTCGGCAATGTATGAAAAATTAGTAAGATGCAGCTTTCAGATGTCAGGCGTAAATTCTTGTGGGTGAGTTAAGCGCTCTACGCATCTTTAATTTTTCACATCCGAAACCTACAGTTAAAACCTTATGTTTAGGTTTTTTTTTATAACTTAAGTTGGCAAACGAGCAAGCGGCCACCTGAATCCACTGAAATGGAAAGCGACCGCTGCCCATAAACATCCGCAATTGCAGATGCTTTGCCTACCCTTAATTGACGGAGGAGGAGACGCACATAAAGAGGAAATTTTTCCTTCCTATGCGTCTCCTCTACCATCAAAGCCACTTTTCCTTCCCATCCTTTCCTCTTAAGAAAGGGGTGGAAAAGGAAAGATACTAAAATTAGGAATCCGGCACCACACTCATCCGACAAACCGTTCACGCCTTTTTTCTGTAAGGTCGTGGTATTACACAGGGCAAGCCGGCCCATTCGTGCGAAGATGTTAAAGCGGGCTCTACCACTGTTAAAAACCTAAAACGTCAAATCCAAAACTATAAAACTATTTAAGTTTCGCTTACACAGTTACACAGCGGTCTTTAGATGCCGGGCTTCACATATCGAGTTTTAACATTATTGCAATATATATAATACATATATCTGTACATCTCTATCATAATATGATGTCTGAATTCCATAACTATAAATAGTTTTATCCAGTTTTGCCATCATAACAATAAAAAAAGGTAAAACGCATTATATAATAATTTTAATATTAAAAATAGCAGTCTGCTAGTGGGCAGTATTATGAAACATTTAGAAGAGTATTGCGTTGAAAACTCTAGACGCACTAATATCGTAAGCTTTTCCAAGACCTAGGACACCATGGAGACAACTGAAATTATTTTAATTTTTTTACATTATATATTATAATTAAAGTATAATTATATCTATATACGATGTATGTGTAAAATGATATGTGAAATTTCTAGCCACAAATTTAACAGGTAATTGTAATAAAACAGTTTATAACGTTACCAAATTCTTGGTCAGTAAGAAAAACAATAAGAGAATGTGACAAAAAGTGGGCGTAACGTGTGAACGCCACTAAAGTCGCGGCTAAGCTATCTCTGCATGCAAAAGACACCCACGAGCTAAGACAGCTGTTTGGGTCGCGAGCGTATGCCACCCCCGTTTCTCACGCATACTCTACATCTGCTTACACCTCGGTCTCGGACCCCTTCTTATAAACTTCATTACACAACAATAAAACTTGGCCTTATTATTTTTCTTCCCTAGCACTGATTTCATGTAACGGGACTCATTCGTCGCGACGGCACCGCGCGTGCTGTATGTCTCCGGCCCGCTGCCCTTACCTTATAATTGTCGATTTTGCGACTCGCGAAGTGTTGGACTTTTTTTTTGAACTTTAATCTTTCTGAAATGGAGGCAATGATGGACGATCAAGAGTCAAAATTAACATATATAAACGTACCAGGTTTGTAATATTTCCAAGTTTTTAAAACTTACACATTATTCGTATAAACTTAAGTAAATGAGTGTAAATGTTGCGTATTTTTATAGTGATATTAATTTTTGTAAAAATAAGAAAATTTTAGTGCGACGTAATTTAAAACCACTTTGCCATTTTTAACTCCCGTCAATTTTTTTTTCATTGTGCAATATAATTAATATCCAAAATAGCCAAGGTCATAAGACATAAAAGTGATAATTGTAGTGTCTTCGGAATGTACAGAATATCTGTAGGAATCCTAAACTACCACTCCTAGATATTTTCAATCTTGCAGCTGTTAACATTCGCGTTATCAAACTATTGAGAGTAATAAATAACTTTAAAGAAACTTGAACTTTCAGAATGTAACAAAACTGTAAGTTTCGATTATTTAAAAATGCTGTTTATGTGTTGTGTTAAAAATTACTAGCTTAGTCATAAAGATGTAAGAATAATACTTATCAAACACGTACGTACTTAGCTTACGAGTTTAAATTTTATTTTTACAGAGTTTCAGTTATTAAATTCAGGAGGTACTTTGATATTTGATCATTGTAATTACGTATGTAAATAATCAATCAAGAGATATATTAGATAACGATAAATAAGGAACAAGATAAGTGAATATCAAGTTATCCTGATTATTCATATTAACTCTTAATTCGACGAAGATTTCATTTTATTTCTTGGATATGAAATAAGCTAGTTCAGTGATTTTTTTTTCATTTAGTTGTTTGTTAGACTGGACAGTATCGAGTTAAGGGTTAAAACGACAAAAGTACGTTCGTTAAGTTCAATTTTACTCGTTAGGCATTTATGATAAATAGCCTCCACTTGATCAACATACCACCTAATGTAAAGATAGCTTAGTAAATGCCTATTCACTCCATTCGTGAACATCCTGACATCATATTTGGACGAAAAAAATGATGCAACAACTGGTTCCAATTCGTTGCGATGCCTACAATGAGAGATACTGCTTGCACTTCGTTTGAATACAATTTATTCCGATTAAAAAAATGTAATATTTCGTTATTACTAATTTTGGCCTAGCAAGATTTATAACTTACTAGCTTTTGCTAGCGACTCCATCCGCGCGGAATATTAAAAAAAAAATTAGTAGCCCAATTGTTCTGCAAATGTGCCAAATTTCAGCAAGTTCCGTAATTATTCATTCTCATTCTATGGCGCGATTGCCGATTGTCGATTGTTTCGCAGTCAATTCAACTGTTTAGTTGCACAAATAAAAATTGAGTAGTTGCACCTCACCGTATTAGCTTATAGGGATCAAAGCGCGACTAAACAATTGTCCAATAGTTTAGTTTAAGGTGTGCGCGCGCTCCACATAAATTCATTCCATCTTAACTTTGGCATTTAATATGTGTAAGTAAGAAGTAAGATGCATCTCATCCTCTTGTCCCAGGAATGAGTTACACCAAATTTGATTTATTAAAACAAAAAAAGTCAGTTTTATAGTTATAAAAATTCCCCTTTCTTACGTAATTCCCCTGATGTTAATACATTTACATGGAAAATTGGCTACCGCCCTGCTTTAAGAAAAGGGGAATTTCTAGAAAATCCTTAGGATTTCGCTGAAGAACAAAGGGAGGCGGCAACATCCTGTCCTTCAATAAATAATTATTATTTTGCGTCGCAATTCAATAACAAAACCTTATTATTGTTTTTAAGAAATATTTACTTCAACTATTGAAAAAATCCGATAAATATTGTAGTTAAGATTCTTGGAAATTACAATCGGAGGATGCGATATTAAATAACAAGCACAATACAAAAACAATGTAGTTATTACTAAAATTCATACGTATTTCTACAATGTGGAAGGATCTGGGACTTGTGTAAAACATTGTACCGACACAGACTGCTGATGATGATCACTATTATTAGGAGGGTTGTAAATTGTATTGTTTGATTGACTTACGATTATGTACTAGGTAATGCTCGCGGCTTCGTACTCGTACTTTTCTCGTTTTCCACTCGACTTCCCCGAATATTAAACACTTTTGATCACATTTAAAAGCGACTAAGAAATAGTAAACCCAACAATTACCCGTTTTATTTAATCAAGATTTTTTTATTCTAAGAAATACTTGCGACTTGCGCTTTTATAACACAACTTATATATATATGCAGGTAGCGCGCTATATTAGGTAGCGCGAAGTTACTAGCGAATGACATCTTTCTATTGCATAACTTAACATTAGGTGGAGATCGTGCGCAAGCGCAGGTTATTGCTTAGATTGTTATAAGACTCAAAATAATACATCTATTAAAACAAAAAATTTCGTTCGGCGGTACTTATAAAGAAGCACGACGGCGGTCTACACTTTCATCTATGGTCATCATTCATCTACGGTCGAATGTGTTCACAACTTACAGTAAAATGAAGGAATTGGGGTGACGCGTCACAACCAGTGCCTTTAGAGTTACTCGGGAATAAAACCCAACACAAGCACTGGCTAGGTATTGTAGTACCCTTGGTTCACGAATATCTAATAGGTATTTAAGTTCTCGTTGCTAAGTTCCATAAATTCTTAACCATCGATCAAATCCTTAACCGTATTATGATTAGGCGCATACGCAACTTTTCGCAACCGCAAGGCAGGTGGAGGCGATGCAGGCTTCAATCCAAGTCTAGAGTCGTTTGTTTCCATGGTACGGGGCGCAGGCAGTCGGTTGCGAAGCGTAGTGTCGGCTGGTTGTGTTCTGTGAGTGCATCCACTTGTGTCCAGTGCGTGTCCAATGTTTCCATGCAAGGTGCGGGGGCGGCGGGACCGGTCGACGGTCGCGCGCCCGACCTGCCGACCTTACGTACCGTTCACTGCACGCAACACGGTGCTCCTACCATCGAGTATATCCCAGGATCAGAAATGCAAAAGATAAATACAACACCTGTGCTATAATACGGCAAGAACTTACTGTGACACGGACTCTAATATTGATGCATCTTTATTTCAATTTCGGACATCGCCTTCGGGGATACGTATACTATGTACGTTTTTAATATAAGTAATATTATCTTTTTAACCGTACTGTAAGGTTTTTATTAATATCGCTGATAAATTTCAAAGCAAATTAATTCGATTCTAATAAGGATTACGTTGATATTTTTTATTTCCTATAATAATTGTTTTTTTTAAACTGTTTTATTCTTATCTTGTTCTTATATAAAGTATTACTAATATTATACCTATAAATGCGAAAGTTTAGATGGAAGTATGTGTTAGAGTTTTCAGCATAAACAGCTGGACGGACCTCAATAAAATTAGGCTAGATCCATAGTCTGGAAGAACACATCGGCTACTTACTTATTATGCTTTTTTTCTAATTCTAAGCGGACGGAATCGAGGACAAAACCTAGTTGTAAATTGCATGCAAAGATTTAATTCAGACTAATTATAAGATACCTTTAATATCACTTTCATGGATTTGACATCTATACTCTATACTACTTTTAATATAATAAAGCTTAAACAGACTTCTTTCTTACGTAGGATGTTACCAATCGCAGCATACTTGTAAATGATTTTTTTTCATAAAAAAACCTTATATTTACAACTCGCTTTAGGCTATATTTTCACGCTATTAAACTGAGGGGGTAAATAAATTGGAAAAAAACATCATTTGGGAAAAGGACAAAAACTAAACCCAATAGCAAAAAATGATTGCCATGGTAACGGTAATTGTTAGCCAATGTCAACAGCCTGCGTGTGCATTTGAATTTTGAAATTTGCAATTAATAGTTATAAAAATGCAAACATTTTTTTTTAATTCAACGCGAATGACGTCGCATGGGAACAGTTAATTTAGTATAGGTACCTAGATTATATTTATAAGCAGTACGAGCCTTAGAAACTTCTGCTATTCAAGGTCCGTGACGTTCACTTTAGAGTAACTAAAAAAATATACAGACATTACATCTTTCTTTCAACCTTATTTTTGTACTAGCTTTCGCCCGCGACTCCGTCTGCGTAGAATTAAAAAAGTGAGTAGCCTATGTGTTCTTCCAAACTATACTATGCAATTTCATCGAGATCCGTTCAGCCGTTTAGACTACAAACTCTTACAAACATCCATCCATCCATCTTAACTTTCCAATTAGAATATTAGTAAGAAGTAAGATATACACTTTTGATTAGAATTATGCGCTATTAAACTATGGTAACTACGAGTATATGAACGAGCTTGTAGACACGCGTAGTAGTAACTAATTTTTACTATTTAAATACCGTATTAGGGTGTTAAGGTATGGCAGTGTTTTTTATAATTAATTAATTGTTGTCTTTTTTTCAACACCACTTTATGGTTTATAGATCGTTATAATTATATCTTATCTCTACTTGGATAACCTATTATTTCATCGTATTGTGTTGTCTGTCGCTCCCAAAGTTAACGCAAATTTGGACCACCCTTACTCCATTTTGACAGCGCGGTTTAAAAAAAAATAGCCTATAATATGCCAATCTATGTCAGCTACCCTCTAGTGAAATCGGCCTAACCGTTTCGGAGATCACTGGGAACAAACGTGGACAGACAGACAGATAGAGACAAAATTTTTCTTAATGCGATTTTCGTTATCAGCAACTCAAATAGAACATCTTCCCGAAATCTGGATTTTTTTTTATATTTCAGACACTCCATTTTATTACATGTTTACATAGATAAGCGCGACAATTAGAACGTAATCCTAAGAAATGCATGGGCTACTTTATTTCGAAAAACATATAGATCCATAGAGTAATAGACTTCTTTTCGATTTCACATACCTCCTCGTTATAACTGCAACAATAGTGTTTTATATAAATCTATCCTAAGCATTGATCTCTAAAGAAAAAAATCCACAACGATAGATACGCCCAATGTATTATTATTGCTACAACAAAAACCCGTATACTTAAGTACCCAAAGAAAAAACATCTGGCACTCGTTTACCAAGCTCCAAAACTTAGGGGATCATCTTTATGACACTAGAGATCCTTCCGATTGGTCGAAATGTTTGTACGCATTACCAATAAGCAACAAGGGATAAGTATCGGCCATGAATGACAGATGCGCTAAAGGTGCATCTTGAACTGCCTTGAGATATAATGTATACACATTTGAACACAATAATCATGTATTAGAATGAGATACGTTTAAGTGCAAGTATTTATTGCTAGTTATTCTAGTTGTTGCCTGCGAACTGCGACTTCGCTCGTGTTGAAATATAAAACAAAAACATTAAGTGTTTATAACACCGTTGCTCGCGATTTCAGCCGCGTGAAATTAAAAAAAAAAAGTAAATATGTAACCTATATTACTCATTGATAACATAGCTTTTTAAAGGTGCAAGAATTTAAAAAATCGGTCCCGTATTTTTGAGAAATTTCAATACAGAAAAAATACAAATCTTTCCTCTTTATAATATCAGCATCGATGTATATATAGATAGAGACGTGATAATGTAGAAACACTAATTCTAGTAAATCTTAAGATTTGTCGATAAAACCTATAATTTACCAAATAGATAGTTATGATTGGTGAAAATCTGTAAAGTTACAAGATCTTGGTACATTTTGGGTAATCTCTTACCACCATTACACTTTGTATTTCTCAATACTAGGGTAGTCCAAACGCATGGTAAATATCGACAAACAGACGTCTTTTATGTTATTTTTTAAATGAAAAAAAAAAACATATACAATTTCAATGTCCTATATATTGCCTAAGTTATTTTTTTATGATGTATAAACTAGCGTATGTATAGTCCTTGGGATCCTAAGTAAGTGAAGATATTAAAATTACCATTTTGACATTCAACTTCGACATTTTTTTATATTCATGAAAAATAGAATTCTTAGAGAATAAGAACCATTAACTGAAATTGATGAGTTTAGAAACGAGATGTTGTTTCCATCAATTTTCGCCTATATTGACCTATTTACTAAGCATCAGTCAAACCAATTATGTTACATTGTGTAAGGGGAATTAATGTAGTGTGAAGTAAATTCTTAATACTTAATTTCGATTTCAGGTTGGAATCTACCAGTGGAGAGGCGAATCATCGGAGAGAGAAGCAGTGGAAACAATATGGCGGAGACGGCTTCCTTAACTAGCGGTCCGAAGTACCAGTACAAAAAGCGCCGACTTTCGCAACTGCTCGAAAAGCTGACGGTGCAAATACAGAATAACAATAATTACCCGCCTCGTTGGTCAATGCTAGCCCCTCCTTACTACGAATCTAAGATACAGGAAGACGCCCCACTCGATCTTTCCGTGAAATCGGAGCAGCCAAAGGTGGAAAAGGAGCCAGGCGGATATAGTTGCACCACTTGCGGCCAGACTTTCGCCCTTCATGATCGACTCGCCAAACACATCGCTTCTCGACACGCGGACAAAACTCCTGAATCAGCGCGCGCCTACGAGTGCGAGGTCTGTCGGCGGCGGTTCGCCCGCTCCGACATGCTGACACGACACGCCCGCCTACACACTGGCATCAAGCCCTACTCGTGCTCAGCGTGCGGGCAGGTATTCTCGCGCTCCGATCACCTGGCGACGCACCAACGTACGCACACCGGCGAGAAGCCGTACCGTTGCCCCGTCTGCCCGTACGCCGCCTGCAGGCGCGACATGATCACGCGTCACATGAGGACGCACTCGCGCCCGCACTGCCGCCCGCAGCCACGCACTCAACCCGCTGAAATCTAAACGACCCTTCAACACCCTCATACGAGCAATACTCAAACATACATTATATAGAGAACTAAATAGTTTATCGACTTTACAGTTTTTGTTTAACAAAATAGATGTAAGTTAAATTGACACACGTCAGTTTCAGTTTATTTAGTCACTTTTTATTAATTTAACTCCAATACAACATGTCCTTTATCTCTATGATTAGTTTACGTTTACCTCCAATATTTTCCAATGCGACTTTGGACCTCTATTTTTAGTAATAAGGGCTCGACTTAGTACACATGTCAGATTTCTATTATTAATTCGAAAGTGTTGCGAGTACGGTTTAATTGGGTTTTTGTTTTTACAATCGTAGGAGGAGTTTGGAGCGGACACGGCTAATATACCATGGGCGAGACCGACATATCACATTGCAACATGCAGAGCGTTAAAATAAATAAAAGTAAAGTTTTTAATTACTTACCGATCATGTATGCCGTTATGCGAATATAGACCTTTTTTCACATTTTTATGCCTGATGTGCGATGCGATGTGTCTGTAACATTTGTTTAAGCGTTAAATGAATAGCATTTTTAAATTTTAATGTTACATGTTAATATAACTATGAAGTGTTAATGATCACGGCTATGCGTTTAAGTTATTATTTGCTTTATGTACTGTAGGTATATTCTTTGCACAATGCTTACGTGTTATGTGTAAACAATTACGTATATCTAATGTATTTAATCATTAACCTGCCCATGTCCCTACGAAGGGCCGGCACAATATGTATAACTTTATCGCCTGTCATATCTGAATTCGCTCCTTAAGATCCTCCTTAACACAATCCATCCATACTTTATTCGGCCTCCCTCTACCTTTGTAGGGTACACATTTAATCTACATATATTCTATGTCTGTTCTGATGTATTTAATGCCACCGACAAATGATGTACACAGCGCCACCTATCTGCAACTAACCGCGGCAAATGGCAATTACAGATATTCTATATTGATATTCTATTAAGTATACTTCAATACTTTGTACAGGTGACACATCTTCAGCTGTCATTTGTTGTGCAGCCAACCAAGAATCTGGTGCTTGCAGACACTGATGGCAGTACAACTCCCAATGAAATGTGCCCTTTTCAAATCGCCGTAATGTAACACGTCTCTATATAAACTATTCGTTACATTTGATTAAAATATAGTAAAAAAAATAAATGACGGTGTAATCGATTTGTCGCTTAGAGAGTTTTCTTGTAAATATGTTATATAGAATCATGTAGCCTGTATATAGCTTTTTCCTATAACCTGCATACGATGGATGTAATTCGTCTGATGAGTATGCCTGCTGTAGGCTTAATTTTAGTCCACTTTCCTTTCTTTCCCTTTTTTGTAATTAAAATACGGGAAAGGGAAGCAAATTTTTCGCGAAAGGCGACGCTTAGGAATGGGAAATATCACAATTGTGCGTTCATTACTGCGACGATTAAAGTTATCTGCAATTGCGGATATTTATGGGCAACGGCAGATCGTCTGCTGTAGAACTTATAACGGTTTTTTAGATTTTCGAATTTCCCGACTAATACCCGAAATCCTTATAACGAAAGAAAATATCGTAATGCCTGCATATATCTGCGTAGAAATTCAAAGATATGCGTGAAGTCAATCATCTCGCACTGGGCTAGCGTGGTTTACGACCTAGTCACCCCTTAAAACTTAGGATAGACTCCGAGCCTTTCATTGGGGACGCATCACTATGTACTATGCACTAGTCACTTCGCTATTTCAGCGAATCCAAGTGGCAGATTGCTCGTTTAGCACCCCATATTATAAACGAGTGTATAAAATTGCAATGTATTATTGCTATTAGAGAAACAAGACTCGCGACTGTTGAGGAGTTTTATAACGTAATTTCTTGGATACAAATATTATTTTACAAAAGCATCACATAAAATGCACGTAGGAAAAAGCTGTTTGGGTTTCAGACTTTATTGATTTTATATCTACAATAGTCCTTACCGTGAATTGCGTAGGCACTAGGCTAGGGTGAAGGTCGACATAAATAGATTGCACAATCTGCATTATAAATATGAAAAAAAAATATGTAAAGTCTACTGTGAAAATCATCACCATCTCTGCATGTGAAATAATGAATTATTAATATTTCTCGAAAACTCACTGTAAGCTATAAAGCCAGCTACAGACGCTCAGCTCTGACAATTGAACTGTCGACCTGTTCACTTAAAAACTTGGACTGTATAGTTCGACTGTTCAGAAAGAACTGAGCGTCAGTAGTGAGTTTAAATCTAAATTGACTTGTATTGTCGAAAATATATAATGATGTTTTGATTATCTGTAAAAAGAGCTTCACTTTAATGTTAAATTTAATAAATACTTTTGTTTAGTAGTAGTAGTAGAAAACAGTTGTTAGCAGTTATTAGAATCGACGAAATGTTTATATATATGTTTTTATAAGATAAATGTTTGAAAAGCAGGTGACTTTTTCAAAGTTTTTATCAGTTCCGTGCATTTTGATAGTTAATGGAATGTTACTTTATCTTACGGTTTAAATATTTTTTAAGAGTAAATTAGTGTCCTTGTAGTGTCGTAACTGTACAGTCAGTCTGGCTTATTTAATTTATTTAATTTATTTGATGTGTTATATCTATATGAATGTAATGTATAAGGAGCTCTTCAGTTATATTATGCATGTTAATTGAAATTAATTTATACAAGAATTGTGTTTATATATTTAAGATTTTTTTTAATACTGTGATAATTTTGTGTTTCAATAAAGCCATGTTGCAACAATTTACTATTATTATTAAAAATAAATTTAATACCCGTATTAAAAACGTCACAAATTATACCTTACCTTATCTTTCCGAAAAGCCATACCAACAGACCAAGTGTGGTAAAACTCCGTTTCTTTCAAACATTACTTTGTCCTTGACCATTATTAATAAGTTTGATTTATTAATTACAAGGTTTTACTCATGACATCGTGCGCGCGGTATTTAAAAAAATCTGCTGCAAATATACATAGCTGTCTTACTCAGTTTTAATGTAGCAAAATAAATTTGAAATTGGTCCGGTAGTTTTTGAGTTTGTTCGTTACAAATAAAAATACAAGTCCTTCCCATTTTAAGACTGCTGCACATTTGAACATTCTATCAGAAAATATGTGAGACATACATAGAAAATAATAAATGCAAAAGTTTAATAGACGGATGAACATGAACAACAAAAAATAAACTGATTAGGTTATAAAATTGTTTATATTATTTGTCATGTTCATTTATCACATAAACAATACGTAACGATAGTTTTAGATCATTTTAAATTGAGTCGAAAAAAAAAAGTTCACAACCTACGAGTATTTCTCGTCCACATAGTCTTAAAAGAATTTACAAACTAATCAACTTAAAAGTTATATAAATGGATAGGACGCTGCTTGGAAATAATAGCTTTTGTCTTGTTCCGCCTTAAAAGCGCGTGTTTATGTGACTGATATTTAATTATATCCCTATTAATAACTTGAATCCTCTCCACCAGTACGAACCTGTACTAAATACTACCGTCAGTCGCAAAATGGCGCAAATCAAATACATAGTTACAAAATCCCAAATGTTGTAGTCAGTACAAGTTGATTGCTTGAAACGGAATAGTCATAACCGGCTCATACTTGACCAGTACAGTTAGAGTTTCGCGACTATACGACAGTCGTAGATTCAAAGAAATTCAAAAATATATACCAGGACGCATAGTTCTCACTTCACTTTAGACATTTTTCAATTCATCTTCACTAACACTATCTATTAATTAATAGGTCCCTCAAAACCACATGTCAATAGAATGAATTGTATTTTATTTAATTGCCAATAGGTGTCACTAAGTCTTATTTAAATATGGTTATTTTTTATTTTGACACTGTTTAGTTTTTTTTATAACAAAAGATGGAGCTTTTAATATTTTTGTAAAATGTTGGCGTCTTACATGGTACCTTTCAAAGAAGTTACCGGTGAAAAATATTGTTCACTTTGTCTAATCTATATATAGCTTAAATGTCTATGCTTAGATTACATGGTTGCGCTGGCGCCAGTTAGGGTTCACACTGTGCCAATTGATTGATAGTCCAGTTTTAGAGTGTTACTGATTACTTTACTGTCCAAATGTGAACAGCGCATATAAGTTTTTAAAAACATTTATTTTTATCTGGCAACATTTTCTCTTCGTCTATGCTTGACCTACTTTATACTTGACGTTTTGTTTAGAGATGTCCGTAGACGGTATTTTCTCCAACGAAAAAATACTTTCTGATTTGGCTTGGATCAACAAACTAGTTGACTCAGCTTAATGTTATTTATTAAATTGTTTTTTAATATTGCTCATTAATTAATGTTTAATGCGGGAAAAGGAAAAATATCGAAAGAAGGACGCCATACTTATGAAACTATAGATACTAAGTATTTATAAAATTAAATGTCGAAAAACAAGCAGACATTTAATCTTTAACAGGTGAGTCAAATCAATAATCTAATAATGCTGCACTAATCCAAAATCTAAACCATAGACAAAGTGCTCTTTAGTCAAAACTCAAAAATATCAAACAACTGAGAAACCCTTTTCTCGCATAACTATAATATTATTTTTCCTATTTATAATTTTCGCTCGAATAAATGTAAAGACAGGTCCAACGAAATTAATAAACGGTTGATAAATTGCAAGATGATCAATGGATGATTCAACAAAGTCGTTGATCATTGCTTCGACGCCCATCACTACTGTCGTTAGTCGTCACGTCCTTTCGTTACCTCACTTCTTCGTAGTTCTCGCGTCTGCCATCCGCCATTTCGGCGTGACTGTCGCATAATAGATTGATTATGACGCCCTCATTTGGCTCTTGTTGAAAATATTGTAGCGCCACTGCATAGTGTAATTTCAGGTACAAACTTAATTACCAATTTATTGATTTTAGATACTTTTTTGACATTCGTTAGTTTTAGTTTAGTGTTTTTTCACTCTACGTTCGATTTGTGGCTTATGCTATTTTAATAGTCTGGGCTTCATGAAATTTAAGTGTCGTGCACTTATTCCCATTTTTTCCATCTAAGTAAATTTACAGATGGATATGATTTTATAACAGTTATTCCACGTGTTTATGTTAGTTCAAAGTATGAATTATCGATACAGAAACCGAGTGAAATGTGAAAACTACGAAAAAAACTCTTGACGGTATTGACGACAGCGCCGTCTGTGAATGTTTTCATCTATTCGTTTTAGATTGGCGGTATTTTCTGTAAACCTGTGTACAAGTCATTTTTAAGGTAAAACTGTTTTCTAATTGAAATAAAAGGCTTATTTCTTGGACCAACATAAAGTGAACTTATATAAAATGGCGGACGTAGTTAGATTTACTTTCATGAATAAAATGCATTGATTATTTAGTTTTGTCTTTATGGTGGCAAATCTAACCATGGAAATTTTCCTAAAATTAAATCTCGCTTCATTATTGTGAAAATGTGCTAATATCATAACTGTAAAATTTTTGGACATTTTTCTCAACAAGCAACTTATAAATTACCATCTTTTTGTTTCTTTATCTTAATCTTTAAATAGATATAAATTAATAATTTAAACATAAACATAACTAAAAATTGTATTATCTTGTCAGATTGACAAAAGACAAAGTTATACATTGACACTCAATCTATTTGTAAAAGAACAAAAATCATCTCCAAGGTAAATCAAGAACTAAAGTGACTAACATGTTACAGTGTTGATACCTCACTGAGTTATTTAAAGTTGTTAATATTTAACATTTTTTGATTTGCAGCCATGTCTATACCGGAGCCATCCGAGAGAAAGACTCTGCTGCAGTCTTTTATAAACAGCTTTAACCAACAAGAAGTAGAAGTTGCTACTATGCCAGGTATTTATATAATTTATACCAAAATTATTTTGATGTAGACAACAATTGATAGAAATATGTCATGGTTTCTCTAAACCCTATTTCTTCAACTCATGAACTCGCAATATTGTTTCTTGCCATCATACACACCAATAACAGTCATATTACTAATCCTGGGTTAAACTTTCAGCTGTTTGAACTATTTTTTGTTATTTCAAGAAATATATATAGTATATCTCAAAAAAAAAAAAACTCAACCTCGACAGTTATTGTTGAATTTAATACTGTTAAACAGAAAGAGAATGTCTTAAAGTACGTAAAAAAATTCAATAAGGATAACATTACCAATAAATTAAATTCTAACCATCTAAAATGCAAGGGCCAAAAAGGCCCATTTATTTCTCTGAAAACTTATCTTCGAAGATAAAACGCCAATTTTACTTATCGCGAGAATTTGTCGCCAAAGAAAAATTTAAGTTTTGCTGGACGACACATGGAAAAGTATTTCTAAGAAAAGATGAAGGAACTCCGCTGTATCGTATTGATTCGGAAGACCTCAATAAGCTAGAACCACAAAAATGACTATGTTCATGGCCTGTAAATGTATACCTTGATAAAATGTTTTATGTTCATAATCGCGTTTGTAAAGAATTGTATTGTATACCTATGTACTTTGTATTACTTGATTACCCATACAAAATGCATAAATTAATTCACTTACTGTCTAATCTCACACTAACACAAAAGAATCACAACTCACCTAAGTATCACTGCACTAATTTACAAATCAAACAATGTAAACATTTCTCTTATATTGCTCAACCACTACGTAATAAGAATAAGTCTATTTTTTATAATACTGATGCACTACATAATATTTTCACAAAACACTATTACTACCCTCATCATACATACCAACAAATAACAACAATAAATGTTATTCTCCATGGAAAAGTGTCCAATTAAGCTTTATAAATAAAATTCAATTTTCTAGATAAATCTATAACTAATGATTTAGACAAAATACACACGCACGTTGAAGTATCTCGGATTAACACTCGACGAAAACCTTAGTTGGAAAAAGCATATAAGTGGGGTGGCAAGCCGTATTAGAAGTTTCATATTTATTTTTAGAAAACTGTGAAATGCTGCCGACCTCAACCTGCTACTAAATACATACATCGCCCTCTGTCAGTGCCTAGTTAATTACTGTATATGTGCATGGGGAGGTGTGTCGAAAAATTGTCTTATCGAGGCTGAGCGTGCGCAGAGAGTTGTTCTAAAGCTATACCAAATAACCAAAATGTTGAGCATACGGAAGACCTACATATTTGAAAGCATCAAACGTCCACATATAAATAGCAACAGTATGCCAATAACACAAATAATTAAAACAAAAAATTAACCAAATAAAATAAAAAATTAATTAGTTCAAAAATAGTGAGACCTTATAACAATTTTGGCACACACATCCCAGTACACTGGCATGTGTCTCAAACTTGACAACTGAGATGATACCAGTGTTAGTTTCATAACATCTTGTCTATTGACATGTATTTTTATGTCTTTGCGAATGGGTAAAACAATAAGAATGTAATATGTGGTAACATTTTGATAGGTAACACAGTTGAGGAAGTGGCTGATACAGGGGTGGCATACTTTGTGGATGAAGAAGGACGCTATTACTATCAGCCTGCTGACGATGACCAGAACATAGTATCTTTACCAATGGTTACTGAAGACACTGTTGAGGTAGGTTGTAGGATTTTTAATCTATGATTTTGATATAACCAGTAAAGTATTTTGATATTATAATATCTAGATAAACTCATTTACATGTAATACTGTAATATTAAAGAGTATTTTGGTGGCTGTTTGATAGATCTCCTATTTTTCTGTCCAGAGTATGTAAATTGTTGAATAGATAAAATAATTCTAATAATATCATCTCAGGCCATGCAAGAGGACGACGATGAAGAAGAAGAAGAGGAAGCGGAACCTGCAATCATGACAGAATATAAAGAGTTCCAGACAGTAACACTGATGCCCTCGGAAAATGGCTCGGGTGGATTGAGCTATGTGCTTGTTGTTCAGGAAGACCCAAAGCAAGTTGTTAACATCAACATTCAGGTAAATTAGATAATATTTAAGATTAGTATATAAAGTTTACATAATTCTTTTGAAGTAAGACATTAGCAATAGCGTAATTTACTAAAATTTATTTTAGAATGAAAAGAATTCTGAGGATGTGTATAACTTCGAAGAAGAAGATGAAGAGGGTGGTCAAGAGGGCAGCGATGATGACAATAACAAAAGTAGTGTAGCAACAAGAAGCAAGCACTCGAAATACGTACGCCCACGGTTCACCTGTAATTTTTGCTCATACACCAGCCATAGACGGTTAGTTAAAATTGTTTTATCTATATTTATTAATTTGATCAACTAAGAATAGATTTACATACATATTTTTATTTATTTATTAATAACCACTCAGCACACTTGCTGCTCTTCTGTAATAATTGAAAATAGATGATGTTTGCCACTATCATTTTAATATTACTGTAACCAAATGGTTATAACCAGCCACAACCAAAATAAAAAGGTTTGAGATTTTGCTAACAAAAGGTAGGTTTTATTTTTATGCAGCCAATTTTTCCTGGTTCCCCCTTTACACCATTTCATAACAAAGTAAGAATCTGATGGTAAAAAGGGTGGATGAAAGTATATTTCTTTTGGCATAAGTGAAGTTAGGCAATGCATTTTCAATTCATTTAGACATGTAACAATCATCTTTTTTCATCAGGTGAAACATTTGCTGGTTTTACTTTCTCTATGTATGTAGTTTGTTTTAGATGACAGTAATTGAATTTGGTTTTAGATACTTGCTGCTGAGACATATGAAATCTCACTCGGAGGACCGGCCACACAAGTGTGAAGTTTGTGAGCGAGGTTTTAAAACCATTGCCTCGCTTCAGAATCACGTGAATATGCACAATGGTGTTAAACCACATGTTTGCAAGTACTGCAATAGTCCTTTTACTACCTCAGGTATGCTTTATATTATTATTTATTATTAACTTAGACAAAGTTAATGAAGTCCTATACATTAAATGTTGTGTAGTATGAATTGAAGTTAATCAGAATTATTATATTCTAGGGGAGTTGGTACGCCATATCAGATACAAACATACACATGAAAAACCCCACAAATGTACCGAATGTGATTATGCTTCGGTGGAATTGTCAAAATTGCGGCGGCACGTCCGCTGCCACACTGGGGAGCGTCCATATCAGGTATGAAAGACGTTTTTAGAGAACATATATTTAAGTACATTATTATAGCCTCTTTTCTAGTGAGAGATAAATACTGTTATATTTTATTTCGTCATTAAAAAGCTAAGCTTATTAATACATGAGAATTAAATAATATAACAGCATAGATTTATATGGATTTTTATTAGAGTTTTTTTATAGTCGAAACGGCTGAATGGATCTCTATGAAATCTGGCGTAGAGGTACAGGATAGTCGGAAGAACTCATAGCTTACTCTTTTTGTTTTGTTTTTTAAATTCCAATGTGTGTATTTAAAGTAAACATATTATTTTCTATTAGTGTCCACACTGCACATATGCTTCTCCGGATACTTTCAAATTGAAACGCCACCTGCGAACTCACACCGGAGAAAAACCATACAAATGCGATTATTGCAATTTGTGCTTCACCCAATCCAACTCATTGAAAGCACACAAACTTATACACAATGGTAAGTGTTTTAACAACATTTAAATGTAAATTAAAATCTTGTTTCATTTTATGTTAAATGCTTATATTTTTGTCAGTGTCCGAAAAGCCGGTGTATGCATGTGAGTTGTGCCCAACAAAATGCGGCCGCAAAACCGATCTTCGTATCCACATTCAAAAACTACACACTTCGGATAAGCCTCTGAAATGCAAGATATGTGCAAAAACCTTTCCTGATCGCTATTCCTGCAAAGTGCATTATAAGGTATGTTTAATGTATGAGTTGAAGCGAGCACAGCTGTGTGAATATCAATTGAAGGTTGTCTCGGCCTACCTCAGTCTATCAATCATTTATTGGATCTAGATTTAAATAAAATGGCCTAATGTTTGTCATTTTTAATATAATGAAGTGGAAATTCCTCTATGATTTGTTCGGTAATTACCTACTGGCAAATGCATATCATTCATCACTTTAAGCTCTTAATTTATTGATAAAAGAAATATTAATTTTCCGAGTATTTTTTAGATGTTGTTATGATTTTATTAAATGTTCCTAATATGTTTGAATAAATAATATGATGAATAATTGCTGTGTAAGAGACTAAATGTACAAAATTATCTTAATAATGTTATAAATGCGAAAGTTTTGATGTGCAATTTAACGAGTTTTGATGAAATTTGGCATAGATTTAAATCATAGTGTGGAAGAACACATAGACTTTTTTTTGTATTCCGGTTATAGTCAGCTAGCAGTTAATAAAAAATTACTTTTTAGACGCATGAGGGAGAGAAATGTTTCAAGTGTGAAATATGCATGTATGCCTCGACAACGATCCGACGGCTGAAGTCTCACATGCTGAAACACACCAACGAGAAACCATTCGTCTGTGATCAATGTGATCAAAAATTCAGGTGATTTGTCATAATAAATAACTCATATGTTATTAATGATATATATAACTAAAGAGATATAAGTAATAATGTTCATGTTTATGCCTCTTAATGTATCGACATAATGAAACGCCGGTACTTAGCTTCATGATTGGTTAATTACTTTGTTACATTTTGGTTGTAATAAGAATGAATAGATCAGCGCGAGATACGATACATGACCGCGCAGATTGACAGACGAAGTGCAAGGGAGTGAATGAATGTACAATAGGGATGTCCGTGTGACGCTGTTGCTAGTGATGTCCATAGTCGATCTTTAGGGATCCATATGAAGGTGACATAGGCGCCAACAGTTCATTTGTCCAAAAGCAATTGATAAGTAACAAATGAATTTTTACAATAATATTGTAATTGTCATAAGGACTTCACTGTTGTACTCATATTACACGTCCAAAGGAGTACTAATTGTTGTTACTTTGTAAAGGTTTTTCTTTTAATTAATTACAATTTATCAATAAACACTGGTGGAATAATTAAATGATTTTCTAGGCAAAAACAGCTACTGCGAAGACATCAAAACTTGTATCATAACCCAGAGTATGTACCGAAACCTCCAAAGGAGAAGACGCACACTTGCCATGAGTGTCACCGCACATTCGCTCACAAGGGGAACCTGATCAGACACCTTGCAGTCCATGACCCGGAGTCTGGCCATCATGAGAGAGTCCTTGCGCTCAAACTTGGCCGTCAGAAGAAAGCTAAACGAGTCGATGGACGTCTTAAGGTAAGCAGTATTATAACTTCACCTACTTGACTTTCTATTCTGTTTATTTTTGTAAAGTATATATATTTCATTAATAAAATAAAACATTAACACACTTTGTATGGTATAAGTAATCACAGCATGTTTTTGAATAATTCTCACGACAGTCTAAAGGCTATATACATTTATGCTATTTAATTTAGACTTAGAAATTGGAGGGAATTTCTAAGCGAGAAAGGGATAAAAACTAAAAGCAATAAGGAAGCAAGATTGTCAACAAAGAACAAGTCTTTATTGTCATTTGTGCCTTAAATTTTTGACATTTTCAAATGTTAACAATAAAATGAAGTTTTTATAATTTAATGGAGATGGATTCGCCCGAAAACAGTTAGTTTTATAACAAATTATTTCCAGGAAATATGTGAAGATGACTCGGATAGTGAGGAAAATGAACAGAACAGTGAAATTATGGACTCGAGCGGTAAGAAGTTGCAGAGTGAGTATGTGACAGTTACTGATGGTGACAATCAGCAGTACGTGGTGTTAGAAGTTATACACCTCGAGGATGGCACTGAGCAGCAAGTCACCGTTATGGCCCCTGAATACATTGAAGAGGATGAACAAGGTAAGCACAAAGTATATATTATTAAATGTATTAGTATTTTATTACTTAGGAAAAAACAAAAATTCAGCCATATAAAACATTTAACTTATTAAAATTTAACTTAGAACATTATACCATGTTAATTAAAAAACACGGCTTAACTCACGTGGTTAACTGGTCGGTGCTTATACCGAATTTTAACTAATATTATAAATGCGAAACATTAGATGGATAGATGTTCTTTAGAGTTTGTAGCTTTTGTAGCTTAAACTTCTAAATGGTTCTGGATTAAATTTGGCATAACTGTAGAAGATACTCTGGGAACATATAGGCTATTTGCTTTTGTTTTTCAATTCAACGTGGACGAAGTTGCGGGCCAAAGTTAGTATCATATAAAACATACTACTGATCTCGCATCAATCGAAATTAGACCGTCGTGCTAATGTAATAGCTAACATTTGGATTGATGGATGTTTTTACATATTATATGAAAAGGATGGAAAGGGATAGTTGATTTGTTGGTGGAGGAGACACAAAGGAAGGGGAAATATCCTCTTTATGTGCGTCTTCTCTGTTGATTAAGGGTTGGCAACGTATCTGCAAATGCAGATGTATATGGGCAGCGATTGTCTCGCTTTCTCGGCGCATACAGCTGGTCGCACGCTCGTTTACCACCTTGTAATAAAAAAAAAATTATACAGTTGAGCATAGTTTAGAAGAACATTTAGGCTACTTACTTTTATTATAAAAACGTGTGGACAAAGTAGTAGTTTATATCATTTTCAGTTGAGGAGGAGGAGGAGGAGGAGGAAGAAGAGGAGGAGAATGATGATGATTCAGAAGACACAAAGAAAAATCAAATACTGCTTTTGCATGAACAAGAAAAACAAAGAACATTGGAGAGAACATTTAAGTTGGAGAATGATGTCGACACGTGTTTTGGATTTGATGTAAGATAATAACTTTATTTTATACAAATCTTACTAATTCTATAAATATGAAACTTTAAATGGATGTATGAATGGATGGATGTTTTTAAGAGTTTATAATCTAAACGTCTGAACATTCTCTATGAAATTTGGTATAGATGTAGAGGATAGTTTGGAAGAACATAATCTACTTACTTTTGTTTTTTCTTGATACCACGGACGGAGTTGCGTGAGAAAGTTAGTATGTAATGTTCATAAAGAAATGAAATCAATACACCATCTTCTTGTGATTTTTTTGCACATAATTTATGTAAATAATATTTTCAGGAGGAAGATGTCGACGACGCTGAAGATGAAGTTTCTTACGAAGACAAGGCGCTTATAGACTTAGTTTAGAGAAATATATATTAGATTTTAATGTATATCATATTAAAAACACGACATCATCGCATCGTATCAACAATTACGACTCAACCAATGATATAAATAGAATAGATATTTTAATATTAGAATTGGTATTGTTGCCAGATTTAGTTACTTTTTTTAATAATTCGACGAAATGACAAATGCTACATACACTTTTAATTCCTGCTATTACCATGTCTGTTTATATAAACATGAATGAGTTCTGTAACACTAAAAGTCTTAGACGGCCGCCATTACAAGGCGGATTACACATTGACACGTTTTATTTCTGTTGCGTTTTATCTCAGAAAAAAATGGTAAACAGTGAATAAGTAATGTTTTACATTTCCATAAACAAATTCAAAAATATTCCCCCCGACGTTAGTCGCGGTGACGCGCTGGTGTAGACCGGCTGAACGTAAAGTTTGTGTTGAAAAAGTTGTTTTTGTGCTTCAAATTTTACAGAACAAGGTAAATTATTCTCATTTTATTTAATGTATTTACTGTTTTTAGCTATTCTACTTAAATAATATCGGTTATAATCATAACTTTGTTGAAATCAACGCACTCAACTACGCGATAATGAATTGATTTACCTTCTGAGATGTTCAGCATCTTTTTAAATAGTTTATTCAAATAAATACTTCATTGTTTTAGAATGACCAATCTTCTTAGCAATTTTATATATGTTTTTTAACGTTTGACGCCTAAACTACTGAACGGATTTCCATAAAATTAAACGTAGATGTAAAAGAACGCAAAAGCCACTTGCTTTTGTTATTTTATTTTGTATTATTATTTTTTAAAAAGGTCGGCAAAGCAATAATGTTGAGTGGAGAGCCAGCCCGTGCAGACGTACGCAGCTGAAACGGTTTTTTTATTCGATTTGGAAATGGATTAGGTTATCTTTACATAAATTGAACATGTGCATATATTACATGCTGTTACCCGCGACACCGTCCGCACGGGATTAAATATGCTCTACATCTAAGCCAAATATCAGTGAGATCCGTTCAGCCGCTTAGAGATACATTTTAACAAACTTCCTTATTTATAATTTTTATCCGACGAATGCAATAACAATGTTATTTTAATATAGTAATGAAATTAATTATATTTTAAAAATACCATAATAGCGTTTTACATAAAAATTTACGTTTCCTTATTACTGAAACAGACTTAGCTCAAAGTTAGTCATTATTTCAATTTTCATAATTTATTCATCCCGTCATAGTAAAACTTCATATTCATTTAGGTTAGTATAACTAGTGTAAATATTTTGTTGTGTCAGTTTAAAGTTCGCATGATAGTATTAGAAACTAGTAATAAAATGTAAAATAGCTCTATTTTTATGTTTTAACATGATATTTCTCCAAATTGTTTCAACATTTTTGTGTTGTAAATATTCTTCGAAATTTACATTCGACAAAGTTTGTTTGATTTTAATACATTTAAATTATGGCTTTATACAGAGTTTTAGAATTCGGTGAAACATGTTATGGAATAGAATAGAATTATTTATTATAGTTTGCATTTCTTCGACTATAAAATATATTACAATTTCTTATTATCCTTCAGTTTTTACATTTGTTTTCGCCACGCATCTGTATGCTAATATCAGGGAGTGCACAAATAGCTTTTATTAGACAATCCATTCTTACACTTATGTTTTACATAAACTATTTTAATGTAAATATCTTAAAATTATGTTAACTGTATATTTACATTGTAGTCTAGTATGTAATTAATTGGAATACCATAAGAACCCTGAAGGTGTCCTATCTATGTGTTAATGATTTTATTATAATTTCTTATTCATATACCTCTTTAAGAAGCAAATGACATGACGTATCCATTTCAACTGATACGAACGAAATAAGATACTAATGTTGTAGGTTCATATCTTTTTAGTTCTAGGATTGATTCGCTACCTTCTGCTAGCTAAAAAGTAAATGTTATTTTCGGTTATGTACAATTTTCTTATATGATTCGACAGTCACTTTCTCGCATGGCGATTATGGAGAAAATTATAATTGCATTTACATAAATTCTATAAAAGTCATAATAACAAAATACTTAGTCTCTAAAAAAAAACAATAAATTGTTTTTTTTTTCAAACTTAAAATATTTGTATTATTTAATGTTATAAATTTCGATACGAATGACTTAAAAAAAATGTGACAGTCGAGCGGCAATATTAGAGATTGCTTATAAAATCGTTCATGGCAATTTTTTTTTATTCAATTGATTTTCGTTTAAAATTCATCTTTTTTCTTAAAGGTGTATAGTGCATGTATTGGAAATTATATTATGTTTTAATTTAAACTATTGTTTTATTATGTTTTAGTAGTATTCGATAACGGCAACGTCATCCACTCTCATTTTTAAATAGGCCATGTAACGGGCGTGGATGTTATAACTTGTATAATAACAGGAATAAAAGTATTTCTTTATGTTTCTGGTATTTTTATGAGCTTTGTGGGTTTCGACTACCATCGCACTTGTATTACTCGTGCGCAGGAGTTATGCCTCATGACGTAACGTACTACCGGTACTGATCGAGGACCACGAAACACGATCGTTTTTAGTTAAAAAGGATCCTCGGCAAACCTGCCCGCGGCTAATATTGACAGCATTAATTTAGATTATATTATGCCTAAGTGGAGGCAAACTTAAAAAAATCTTAATTTTATCAAAAGATGTTTTCGATCCGGAACATTTTATTCTTTATACATAAATGTAAAGTCATCCTTAGTAATACTATAAAGATATTTGACTCAGGCATCCGAATGAATGTTTTCAATGGATGGATTTGTTTTTGCTTTTCACATAACTTAGTGTGTCTAAATAAGTTAGATTAGTTTGACAATTCATGTTAATTCATGTGACAATTTAGTAGGGATGGGTTGTGTAAAATCAAGCATTATGTACTTTATTATTATTATACTTTATGGATCGAAATTAAAAAAACACGATTTTTCATTAGTTTATTTAGAGGCAAATTGATGTAATTATTATTTCCTAAATTAATTAAGAATTGTAAATTAGAAAACATAAATAACCAAATAAAATTTAAATCATGTACGATTAATTTCATTTTTGAACCGATTATCGATAGTTCATAGTTGTTCGGTATGCGTGTATGTTCATCACTACGATACCTGTCTATTAAGTACGGCTATTGCCGTCATACAAATTTAATTTGATACTTCATATGCGTCATTCATCAAACTAATCTAAATTATTTAGACACACTATAAAGTGGAATAATTACTGTTTTTTATTGTAATTTCATTGAGAAAGCTAGTGTGGGGAACAGGGTCATAAATTGAATTAATTAAATATTTGTTCGCAATGAAGAAATATTCGACATTTGGGATAAAGGGAGAGTAACATCGATTATTAAATGCGACAAATAATTTAAAGGCTCTGTTAATGGAAATTTTTGATAATGTAATTACAAAAAATAACATTTTGCGTAATGCCTGTTTTTGCCGAGAGATGGCATTTCTTTAGAAAAGTACTTATCGAACGTGATCATGATCATCGTTTAGAGATACAGTTAAAGTCAAAATCAATTGTTTTATGGAAACATTGCTTTCTAAGACAAGAAACGTTTGTAATGTAGGTGAATACGACGTCTAATATGAGATACAGTAAAGCGGCATGGTCCAACATTCGTAATTTTTTACCTCAAAGTTTACAAATCTGTTTATTTTTATATAGTATAATAAACATCGGTAAAGTAATATGTTATAAATGAATTATACTTGAAATATATAAATCCATTGTGCTATTGTTATTAGGTACATCCAGACAAATAGGTTTATAGTAAGGATGTTTAACTGCATAACATTTATCGTCTGTTATTGAACTTAAGTTGTAATCTTGTTAAAGCATTTCATCTCTTTGAAGTAATAAATAAGCTATTTGATTAGGTAAAACTAAAGTAGAACCTTATACGCAGAGTTGCAGATAGTGTGAGAACCCATGACCCCGCTATGTGTGCCTAACTGTTTTAATATACATCAAAAATTATCTATTAAACCGAATTCCTTTCCTATTTTTGGAAATCCGGCGATCGTAAAATTTGGCGATCCACATGACTAAAAATTTAATAGATATTGTTTGATCCACATAAGTTTTAAATGTTAATTATATGTTAGTCATTTATAGTCTAAAGGTATTTCTAATTTTAAATTCTAGTTAAATGTATCGTATATACACATGTATAAAATATGTTTTAATTTATGACACAAATAAAGAGTAAAAAACATAAAATTGTACTTTATTTACTCGCTGCGTAACGTGATTTTATGTATTTGCGGAATGACTAGATAGCCGCGCACTTACTGCTTTATGTTACAGTAGGTACCCTTTGACTTACTGAGTTGAGAGATGTGAGCATAGCAAGAATCCTCACAGACATAATCAAATTTGTGTCTAGAACAGTTTTGACCAGCAGTGACAGTGATATATTCTGTACGAGCTGTTGCCCGTGTCCGCAACTTCGTCCGCGTGGTATTAGAAAACGTACTAACTATATAAATTACAAAACGCTTCGTATCCCTCGGGAACTGGACATTTCTCGGGGATGAAGCTTATCCCATGTGTACTTCAGACTTTGTTTTATATCTGTGCCAAATTTCAGTAAGATCAGTTCAGCCGTTTAGGCTACAAACGCTAACAAACATCCATCCATCGATCTAAACTTTCGCATTTATAATATTAGTAAGAAGTAAGATTTATAGTGTTGGGATTGCAACAATAAACAGGCAGTACGACCTGAGTATAATAAAACTGCAGACCATTGATAAACATACTTTATTCAAAAGCATTAAGTTTTAAAACCAGTTTCATTTAATACAAAAAATTCGAAAGAATTTGTGAACATTAGCAGTATTAGGACGTATTAAAAAATTTAACCCTGGCTGAACAATATCTATATCTGAGCTATAGGAAGACGACGAGTAAACAACACTCGAAACAGATTCTTGTACTCCATCGATAATACAAGTAGAGCTGGTTGATTTGATTGTAGAGCTTGTTTCGATTTTCATCGTGGAACTGTTGCTCGTATCACAAACAGAGGTATTCAGTGCTTCTAATCCAGATATTATATCTTTCAGTTGTCTTAGGCTAATACTTTGAAAATCTCCAGATGTTAATCCATTATCATCACACTGTTTGACATTTACCTCAAAACATTGTCTAATGCAAATAAAAAAATATTAAATTCTTGTATGCGTTTTAAACTGTTTAACATATATGAAGCTGAAAATACAAACCTACGTGGATTTCGGGCTATTGATTCAGAAGAAAACATGGCGTTTTGTAATTGGCATATTATATCCATAAGCTGGTTATCGTTCATTGTTTGAAAATCACTAAACGTTAGTTCGATGTCTTCAGACAAAATAATATTACAGGGTTCATTTGTATCTAGTACTGCACATGTTTGTGTACTAATAAAAAAATAACAAAAACGTTAAATAAGTAATTAGAAATTATTCAAAAATAAGGACGATCGCAGACAATCAACTCAATTATATTATACCATGTCGAATATTTAAAACACGTGGCGACAAGGATTAGGCTATAAACTGTACGTAAAAAACAAACCTTTCTATTTTTCTTAAACTAGAATGGTAAGATGACGGGACGTTTTCGATGTCATATATTACGTGTTTGATTTGCTTTTCGGTGCTTATTTCAAATACACTGAACGTTAGTTCATCTGTTTCTACGTTATGTTCTTCGAGAACAAGTTCACATTGTTCTTCTATATCCGCCTCGCAAGCTTGGCTACATGAAAACATAAATAACTGCTGGAACTTATTACGGCAATGGAAACTAACAGGGCGGCGTTATAATAGTTTTAATTGTTGTTCAAATTTACTGAAATCTTATCAATAATCTGTGCATCCACAAAATTGATAGTTACTCAAGTACGTACTGAGTTAAATAAAAATATCCTTTTACAAACCTTTCTTGATTTTTCTTTGGTTTAGTTTTGTTTGAAAATTCTTTGAACCAAAAGGGACGATAAGGCTTTTCAATCTTTTCTTGGTAACCATTTAAAGACTGAATACATTCAATCGAATGTACCGTAGTTAGGTGTTTACCACAATAATCGATATCTCTTATGTTTACTCTGCATAAAAAAAATGATTTCCTTTTACTCAAATTTAACTGGAAGTATCATAACAATTATACAGACGGTTGTTGATCTACATCCCTAAACCTCATTCCTCGATGTGATACGTGGCATTTAATTATTTGTTGCTTTAATATTTGTGGTTTTTTAACTTTAGTCAGTTTGTTTCTTTTCTTTTTTTTCTTACCTGAAAAAGTGTTTGTTGTTTATTACATGGTTTTAAAATACATATTATAATACACAAAATTAAAATCGAGTACCATCCTTCGTTGCACAACGCCAATAAATATTTTTTACAGATTTACTTAAATCTTTCTCGCATTGTGAATAATTACTTGTAAAAACTTTACGTTTAGTTTTTAAATGTTCCTTAAAAGAATTGGTATCCCACATTTCTAGACCCACGGATTTTTGTTCTACTTTTGGACCTGTAATTTGTTTATTTTTATATTTGTCATGACATTTTTAAATAAAATACTTTTAACCTCATCTATGACTGAAAAAGTCGAAAACAAATTTGTCGAAACATCTGTAAGAAAATATTATTCTCTCGTTCCTTCTGAAAATAAAAGAGACAGCAATATATTTTCGTATACATATTTCTCCAGTGGATACGGAAATCATATTTTACGAGATAATTGTTCAAATAGCAACAATTCAGATCAATGATGGCGTACAAAAAATAAATATTTTTTATATCACAATGGGTTTGCTTAATTCGTCTGGTACACAACTGTAACGACGGAAGTCGAAATTATTTTTTCATTCTTGGTGCTAATCTTATAGTTAGAGATATTATGTTCATACTCGTACAATAGACATCCTCTACTGATTTTTATTGTACTTTAGTTAATTTGATTATCATGAGTGCAATGCCGTTTCTTATTTATAATAACTCTGTTATGCTAAAAAAAAGTTTATTTAGCGATGACATTTTTCTATCCCTGTTGATAAAAGTAGCAAGAAAAAAAAACTTACTGCCATTTTTTATTACACTTTATTTGTGAAACTGCATGCTACTTCATTATTTTGCACAAAAAAATCGATACAGTTTTTTTGAATTAACACCATTAGGGGGTATAGAAAAATTGATTCCGTTCTGTTTACATTCTGAACCAGAATCGTAGGAAGAAAAAGAACCAGAACTCGAGTTACTTGTATCATCAGAAAACTTCGAACCTTTTCCAAAAAAAGAATTACTTGATTTGCTTTCGGAACTTGTTCCATCCTCCTCTATTAATTTCCGGGGCGAATCACAAGACGTGGCTTTTTTCAATTCACATATTATGTCTATCAGTTGTTGTGCATTCATTTTTTTAAAGTCACTGAACGTTAATATCTTATTACTATTATTGTCATCTTTAAGAAAAGATTTATTAAGTTCTTTGGAAGTCTTGCAAAGTTTTCTATAATAAAAAAGTATATATAAGTATGTTATTACAAGAGGCAAATTTCAAAGCGGTGTTTTCGCGGTACGCTACCAGCGCTGATGCGATATAATTCTACGCAAGTGGGAGGGGTGCTACAGGCAGGGGTGTGCCCAGCCTCCGCATCTGCATCCTTTGCGTCCCGCCGAAAAGTAAACTTGTGTTTTGCACTAGTATTCCTTATAAAACTGTTAACCGACATAAAGTTTTGATCGCACTACATTGTCCAAACGGTTAATATAACAATAACATTACATTTAAAGGAACTACTCTAACTATTTATGAGAAAAAACACACTTTTTGGATGTTTTGCTTTTCTTAGTAATCTTCTGGAATAATTTAATCCAAAAGGGTCGTTGGCATTTTTTATTTCTCCCTTGCTGACCGTCTTTCTTCAACTGCTGAAAGCAATCTAGCAATTCAAGTGACCTGAGATCTTTTCCGCTGTTATTTATTTCTATTATGCAATCCCTGAATTAATATAAAAAGATACGTTTATAAGGCAATCTATTTTTAACAAACTACAAACAAAACATAAGTATTATACATTACGGTGGAAAACTGGATGTAATTTTTTGCCGTCTTATAATTCTTGGTGTTCTACTATTTATAATTGGTCTACATGCTTCTTCTGAAAGTGTATGTTTTTATTACATATACGATATGACTTTAAAATGTAATTTTTTATATGATGAGGTGGCTAACGAGCGCGCGGTCTGCTCAATTCGCTGAAATAGCAAAGCGACCGCTATCCAAAGGCATCCGCAATTGCATTACTCTTAAACGATAGAGGAGACATTCAAAAAGAGGATATTTCCTTTCATAAGCGTCTTCTCCACCATCAGATCCAGTTTCCCTTCCCGTCCTTTCCTTATTTTGTCAAATTACAAACTAATTAATGTACTACTTTTTGAACATTTCCTACCAATGTTTTGTGGCAATGTATTTAGACCCATATCACATTGTTTGTTATCCCTTGTACAATCTATACATTTAGGGAATGGAAGTTTCACCTTGATGGGAGAAGTTTTTGCATTGCAAAGGTTACTTTTGCATTCGTTCGATATTTCGTTAACATGATTGTCGCATAAGATACATTTAGGTTCATCCGTATCTGAAATAAATTAAGAAAATTTAATTGTTTAATTCATTTGTACCTTTTGTGTTCAATTAACAAAATCGTTAACAAACAAACTGCCGAATTTTCAGGAAAAAGAATCTCCTCAGAAGATATGAGGAATCCGTTCATCATCCGTCCGTCATTTGAAACTTTTATGTTTTCGTTATTCGTATAGAACTCGTTGAAAGTACACTCTTATTCTAATTCTAAATTAGACGCTTGCTCTTGCTTTTTCTTCTTTATTTATATCTATCATGTCTTTCACTCGGAAGACTATTTTTTAATAATTTCTCTATAGTATCGTGTAAAATTTATTATATACAAACTATGAAAATATCTATTTTTTGTTACTAATATTTTACTGATTGATGTATAAAATGATCTGTTACCTTGGGAATTTTCAATACAAGCATGTTGTGGCTGCCAAGACTCTACACAACTATGGGAAGAACCATTATCCTCAGGTATATCAAAAGATATACTCTTCGGACTCTTGTGGGAACCTTTACTGGGATCTGGTTCATTAAAAAGAAATATTAGTCTTCTACATTACACAAGTAATAGTACGGAAGCTTATATGAGCCAAATAAAATTCTGTTACAAATTACTTTTAAACATCCCCTGGAGGCAAATGTCATATTCAGCAAAATTATTAACATCAACAAACACTACTGACGTCGTCTTCTTTATTAACAAAAGCTTGCTTTTTAAATAATTTCTCTGCTGCATTTCAAATATCGAAGTATTGTTTTTAATATTTGTATCCCTCTTGCTTATAGCTGCACAATTTACAATCTTCGATTGTTCTGGATTCATTATAGACCAAAATTGAAATACGGCTGTAACATAAATTATTAAGATAATTTCGGAAAGATGATGTATTTGCGTTACTGTATAACAAAAATCGTATTAAATTTTTGACTGTCTGTCCGCAAGCTGCGTTTGTTCCGGGCAATCTCGGAAACGGCTGGGCGGATTTCGACCGGGCTTTCACTAGAGGGTAGCTGACATTAACCCATATTATAGGCTACTTTTTTATCTTAATATTACGTGGACGAAGTCGCAGGGAACTGCTATGATTATATAACATTATCGGATTATTGGATTTGACGATTTTTCTTACCATTTTCTTTGAAGTGACACATCTTAGGTTCACGCTCTAGTTTCTGGTTTGGGAAAACATGCATACTAAAACAAAAAATTACCACGTCAGTAGGAAGAAATATTTATGATCCTTTCTGATATAGTTATTGTGAAACAGGAATCTATACCTATACATGTAATAAAATTGGAGTGTGTGTTATATTAAAAGAAAAAAAATCAGATTTTGATTTACATTTTGCGTTGCTTATAACGAAATGCTTATAATGCATTTAAATCATTTTTGTCTGTCCGCAACCCGCGTTTGTTCTTGTAATCTCGGAAACGGGTGGACAGATTTTGACAGAACTTTCACTGCAGGGTAGTTGACATGGACAGGCAAATTTTATGCTACTTTTTAATTTTTGCGCTTTGAAAATTGCGACACAGCCGCTATCTCTAGTACGGGTGGACCAATTTTGATCGGACTTTGGCTAGAAGATAGGTGGTAAAAGGTAGATACAAGCGGCAATATTTTAGATGACCATTTTCTTTTCAAATCTGCGCTAACAAAGTTTGCGGACGAAAGCGCGTTCTAAATACAATGGAAGCACTTATAAATGACAGTACTTTCTATTAACCAGCACTTACAATTCTATCTAGATATATTGTATTTAAATTAAAATAAATTTTATGTAATTGCCACAAATCGGATAGTCATACCTAAACATATAGCAATCTTGCTTTGTAGGTTTCAATTTTGTCTTAAGTTTAGATGTAACTTGTTGCGAACATTGGCCATATAATTTTTTTATAATTTGGTCCAAATGTATTGTTTTGAGCTTCATTTTAGCTTTTTGGGCGCATTGACCATATGTATCCTTTATTACTTTACCCACATTATGATTCTTCAATTTCGTCTTAGCTTGTTTAGAACACCGGTTATATGTACTTTTTAGTATTTTACCAAAGTTGTTCATACATTTTGGCTTACAAATATTTTTTGGCTTTACCTTCAAACTTTTCTTACAGTTTTCACAGAGTGGAACAATTTCTTTCTTACATTTAGGTTTCTTTGGTAACTTTGGGTAACAATGCTTTGAAGTTTCCCGTACTTTGAAATTTTCTGATTTACATGTACGCATCAATTTGGAAATTTGTCTTAGCATATGTTCATAGTCTTTTTCAATACAGCGTTTTTTTTTTGTGAAACTATCCATATGTCCACAGCATGGCATTGCAGACTTTTTCAATAATTGATTATGCACCTTACATGATTGTTCAAAGATGTTAGAAACACAGTGGCTTTTGCTGCTACGAAAATTTTTTTTGGAGCATGTTGGGTAATGTGGACATTTTTTAGATTTCGACATTATGTATATGAGATGTATTCTTTTCACTAGATAAAACTCTTCTTTGCAACAACTTGACAACAGAAATGATGAATTTCTCATTTCAAATAAATTATTACGTGGTCCTAAGTTTGTTAAAGAAGTATTTTCACAGGGTTTAAGTAAACCGGTTTCTATTATAGGAGCCCTTGGTGATGTTGTTTTCTTGACACAATTATTGAAAGGTTTTATTAAACTATTCTTAATTGTGGCCATATTGCTTGCACAATTTGTTTCCAACGATGTTTCTCTTAATTGGACTTTGACTTTTCTAGGTACATAATAAATGTGGGTTTCAAAAAATTTTGATATTTTTTCGGCATTTATAAAAGTGATAGATAAAAGAAATCTTTGTATTTTCATTATTTCTTTTGAAGCCATTTCTGATTTGATTTTATATGGGAAGAAAAAAATAATATTAATTTTTTTTTTCTTTACCAGGCCTTGAAATAAAGTAATATGTTGATGCCTCATTTTCGCATTTTTATAACTTTTAGAAATCAATTTTGACAATTTAATATACATATATGTGTTGGAAAATTGCTTGTTTCTCCTTAGTGATATTTTCTTTGAATATTTTTTTTTACTTAAAATTAACCTTTGTAGATCATTATTTTCTTTACATACATCAGGTGATCCCTCGGTAAATTTCGGTACACTTCTCAGTTCATGAATTGTTTGGTCATCATTTGTAAGTGAGGTTAGACATAGTCCATGATACAAATCCATTTTGATTGTTAAATCTTCCTTAGACCTTTTATATTGAAAAATCATGTGATGATGGATTTATATTCGAAGCTGAACTGTAGGTTTATTAAACTCGTCAATTTTAAAAGAATTCAAAACACATTTTTATTTTTTAAATTAGCAGTGATTATTTATTCAGTAAACGTTACATTTAGTCCATTTTTATAATTTTTTGCATAAACCAATACGATTGGTTATGTTATATCTTTAAAACCGTATGCTTGAATTAATTAAATCCGTGTCTCTTTACATCTTCCTCATAAAAATCAATCTCCATTATTCTGATACTTTGGTTTATAAAATAAACTTTGGTATATTAAATTAAAGCTGCTTTTCTATCACACTCCATGTTTTCCTTTATTGTAAATGTCGCAAAGTTAAACTTTATAATTTTTTTATTTATTCATGACTGTGGTATGTATTCATTTTAATAATATTGAGATAATTTATGTGACATATATATACGTCAGTATATGTCAATATACCAAAGAGCATATAAGTCAGAGTGGGGACAATGGAAGTAGTTAAGTACTTGTGGTGACAACAACCAATTCCCTTACATAGACATAATCTCTTTCGGATGACATACAGGGCCCCAGCCTCATAACCGGAGTTAGCCAAGAACTGTTATGCACGCACCGAAGCCCATTACACGTAGCCGTAGCATATGCCCTAAACGAGATCTATAGCGGCATATACGTACTTGTCCAAATCTCAAGTGCGATCGTTCAAGACCGAAAAGTACACAGGAGCGAAAATACCAACATAAATACCCAACACAGTATTCCTAGTCTTCACTCAAGATGAAAAGGAAAGCCTACAACATCTAGGCTACGGAACTGGTGAAGGATCACGACTGCTGACGGTACACTAAGCACAAGGGTTAACATATGGGACAGCCATCATCGGGAGTGCAACAGCAAGGCAGCTGCAGCTGCACGAGAGTGTACAGCACGCAGTGGTAGCAGTTTCAAGGCACACGATCGAATGTGTATACTACACGGACGACGCAACGGCGAGACTTGTAACGAGGGCGATGAATGCGTCGACCGAATCATCGCCTACAACATATAAATGGTGATGAGAAATAGAGACACAGCGATCGTAGGTCTGCAAAAAATTACATAGGCTCTGCGAAAGGCCACATTCGTCGCCACAGACAACTGTTGTGTTAATATAAGTCAAATTGTGTTATTGTAGCACAGCATATGGTAATTTAAAATATTAATAAAATGATGGAAAAAAAGAAAAGAAAACAATGATAAAAAAATACCGCATTGATATATTACTATTATATAGATCATGGTGTATTACTAGAACAGAATAGAGCTCTTGTCGAAAAATTGACGCCGAGCAAGACCACAATAACTGACCGTTTTATCACTCTCTGGCGATGGTGACTATGTTAAAATATGATTTAAGGCAATAATAATAAAAATCTTGCTTTTATTGTCTTACGTCAGCTGATTATTGCTTCTAATGGATTTTAACGTATTAGTGTTATCATTAATGTATATACATAAAAGGACAATTTATAATATGTATTGACAGGACATTTTATAATATGGAAAATAAATAAGATGCATTTATATTTATATAATTTTATTGCTTCATTTTTGGCGCTACATATTTGAGTAGTAAAGTAAATACAGTTTCAATAATGGCCCAAGAGTTTGCCATTTTTTCCATCTCCGTGGGCAAAAAGTTTATGTCACTATAAAATACCATGCGTATGATACATAAATATAATCGGCGAAACATGAATTTCCAAACATTTTATATACGTAAATATCATACTTGACACCAACTTGACACTTTAGGGACATTCAGGTTTAAATGTTTCCATTGTAAAAACGAAAAACACATAAAACTTCTGTGAGAATATGTTTTTGCACTTTAACCCTATTAACTATATAATTTTTACGATAACCGGCGATTCGAAGCAACTCACCCGAAGTATCCGACAATTATAAAACGCACAGTTCAAACCATGGGGCATACCACATGTACATCTGTAGATGAGCGCTAAGACAATTTCTATTATGTCAAGACTATTCCTACCTTGATTCAAGAGAGTGCATTGCTAAAAGTTTGCTTCAAAGATTATTTAACTGTAGTCTTCCAACCGACAAACGAAGTCTAGGGAAATTTCTAGTTACATTGTTAGGTACAAGTACTTCCTTTACGATTTGAGTTTTCGTTTTCAAAAGGAATTTCCCTTAAATGTAGATATATTACCTAGCTGGTAACTCTATATGCTCAAAGGCGCCATCCTGTCAATGTCAAAAAGGTGCCACAATGTGCGTGCGGCACTTTAATTATGTATTAGTCGGTCATTACACCCAACGTTGTAGAAAATAGAAATTCCTTTACTACTTGATAATTTATTTATTATTGCAAAAAAACCAAAAGGTTGTTAAATAATAAAACTATGTTAGCTAAAACCTAAAGAAAATATAGAACCTAAAAATAAAACAAAGAAAAATTAATATTCTTCGCCGCCTTCGCCTTCACCCTCGCCAGAATCCATCCCCACTTCTTCATAGTCCTTTTCAAGGGCCGCCAAGTCTTCGCGAGCTTCAGAAAACTCTCCTTCCTCCATTCCTTCACCAACATACCAATGAACGAAGGCGCGCTTTGCATACATTAGATCAAACTTGTGGTTTAAGCGAGACCAAGCTTCCGCAATGGCTGTAGTGTTTGAAAGCATGCACACTGCACGCTGTACTTTGGCTAAATCTCCCCCTGGCACCACAGTTGGGGGTTGGTAGTTAATCCCTACTTTAAATCCTGTAGGACACCAATCCACAAATTGTATTGTGCGTTTCGTTTTTATGGTCCCAATTGCAGCATTCACATCTTTGGGAACTACGTCACCTCGGTATAGCATACAACACGCCATGTACTTACCATGTCTGGGATCACATTTTACCATCTGGTTAGCTGGTTCAAAACATGCATTGGTGATTTCCGCTACAGAGAGCTGCTCATGATATGCTTTTTCAGCGGAAATAACAGGTGCATAAGTAACCAAAGGGAAATGAATACGTGGATATGGTACTAAGTTGGTTTGAAATTCAGTTAAATCCACATTTAGAGCTCCATCAAATCGGAGCGAAGCAGTGATTGATGAAACTATTTGACCAATAAGGCGATTCAAATTAGTATATGTCGGTCGCTCAATATCCAAATTGCGACGACAGATATCGTATATAGCTTCATTGTCAACCATAAACGCAGCGTCCGAGTGTTCCAGAGTAGTGTGAGTAGTCAAAATCGAATTATACGGTTCTACGACGGCTGTAGAAATCTGTGGTGCAGGATAGATGGCAAATTCTAGCTTAGATTTCTTACCGTAGTCTACAGAAAGTCTTTCCATAAGTAAAGACGCAAATCCAGAACCAGTACCCCCGCCAAAAGAATGGAAAATCAAAAATCCTTGCAATCCAGTACATTGGTCAGCTAATTTTCTCACTCTATCTAAAACAAGGTCTACTATTTCTTTCCCAATAGTGTAATGTCCTCTTGCATAATTGTTAGCAGCGTCCTCCTTGCCTGTTATAAGCTGCTCGGGGTGAAACAATTGACGGTATGTACCAGTACGAACTTCATCTACTACCGTAGGTTCTAGATCTATGAATACGGCCCGGGGAACATGTTTGCCGGCACCAGTTTCACTGAAAAAGGTGTTAAAGGAGTCGTCACCTCCGCCAACGGTTTTGTCTGATGGCATCTGTCCATCAGGCTGAATTCCGTGTTCCAAGCAGTATAACTCCCAGCATGCATTTCCTATTTGTACGCCCGCTTGGCCCGCATGTATAGATATGCACTCACGCATTATAAAGTATTTACTATGTGCTTAAAAATATTATGGAATTTCTTAAACTGTTTGCCAATATTTCAGTTACACAAGGCCCAAACAAACAATGAGCATGACAAGGCAATCAATCATAAATTTTCGTAATTCGAAAATTTTCATCTGATCCAAATTTGAAATTTTATGCTTTAAAATTTAATCATTGGTTAGAGTATTTGGTGTTTTACAACAAGTTTAACATCTATATAGGTTGTATCCTGTCCTACATACATTCCATATTAATTCTTAACGGACGAATTATCGGCTATGTGGAGTTAAAGGACCTCAATAGCTAACGTTTAAGTGGAAAGTATGTTGCCTGATTTTCTGTAGTTTTAAAGTGATTTATTTTTTTTTTAAATATTCGTAAAAATCAAATTTCCCACCAAAATTTGCCTGTTACTCCAAAATAATGTGTTTACAGTCCTTTTTTTCTCTAACACGCCTATAACAATTAGGCTTTCGTACCCTTATAGTCCAAAGAACATATAAATATATATATATAGTGCGCCACAAGACTCTTGACTCTTGTGGCACCTGTTTGACATTGACAGAATGGCGCCTCTGAGGATTTAGGGTTACCAGCAAGGTAATATGTCCGCATTAAAGGGAATTTCTTTACTTTTGAAAACGAAAACGCAAATTGTAAAGGAAGTACTTATACCTTGCAATGTAACTAGGAAAGGCCCCAGACTTCATCTGTCGGTTAGAAAGCTCTACAGTTAAAGAATCTTTGAAGCAAACTTTTAGCAATGCACTCTCTTAAGACAAT